CTGCGTCTTGAACACTTCCAGCATCGAGGATCGAGGAGAGGGCCAATGGAACAGCTCAGCAAGAGCGCGAGTAGCATTCGTTCGCCGAGGAAACTCTAACTTTTAGTTTTCTGGCATCGTTTCCATTTGCTCGCTGGTCGTAGAGGCTCTTGACGATTTTGAGAAGAAGATCCCTGTCTAACGAAGCATCTGGCCATCGAGTTAAATACATGCGAATTACGTCGAGCAATGCGGCACCGTCGCTTCGGGCTCCCTCGAGCCTCGCTTCCTCCCCGCTGCCGCTCGTCTATCCCTTCTGGCTCTGTCGCTCTGGGTTGTTTGGCCCGCTGCAGATTCCCTCCACACTGGATTATCTACACTGCACGCTAACATACATTCGAAGACATATATTTTATTATGGCGCTCGCCGCTTAAGCTTTGGATACCGGATGAACACACAGCTGCCGTTGTCGTTGGCGTTTTCCTTCGTCGCCGTGGTTGTCGTCATCGTCGTTGTTGTTGTCGTTGCTGCTGCTGTTGTTACCGTCGCAGTGGCCGCTGTCGTCTTCTGTGAAGTAATTACGTCGATGCCGCTGATCCTCAGGCTGTAAATTTCATCTCTGTTGCTGTTCGAGCTACGTGACTACAGGCTGTGACCATCCTAGCTTACTGGACATGAGATAACATCACCGCTGTGGCTGCTGGTGCGACACTGTGCACCACCCTACCACTAGATTCTGAATTTGAAAGTAGAGGAGGGAAAAAACGGACTATCTCGCCTATTCATTAACAACAAGATCGTCCGACATCAACTCAAATGACCAACGAGCAGATGCCTCCAGCAGCGGCAGCGACATCGCGCCCGACATCACCACCCTCGTACGGTGACGGAGGCTCCAGCCGGTTCCGGTTGGTCGAAAGTCGAGCTATTTACTGAGACTGAGTATGGCCGGACTTATGCATATTCGGGCAAAGCGGAAATGCATGACGTACGACACACTTGGAGGTATGCAACATCAACCAGTCCAACGGCAGCAGCTCTGCGAGCACCTTCTGCAGAACAATGGGAGCTACCCCGATGGGCACAATTCTATGGCAGTGGAGCGGGTACTCCTCTCGTCGTTTATAAAGTATATATATGGGCACGCACGTTCAAACACATTTAGAGCTTTTTTTTCACATGGGCGACGTCAATTAGTCGAAGACCGTCGGCAGCAAAGGGAGCTTTTGCTGAGCTCAAAGAGCGACAAGCTTTACGCTTCGAATGTAATTTAGAGGGGCTCTGGGACGATGATGATCAGGCATAATTTTTTTCGAGTGGAGCGTTTTTCTTCCAACGTGATTACCATCCCCCTCATCATTCATGACGTTTATTGTTTTTATGATTACGATACTTCCGTCAATTATGTAAGAACGACTCTTATATCATACGGAGCTCTAATGGAGGGGCAGCAGGATCATGATACACTGATGGGGGGCGTTCAGGTGCGATTAACACCGGGTTCATTCCATCGGGACGCTTCGATGGGGAACCTTCCTGGTTGGTTGCTCCCCGATCGTGGGACTCTTCTTCTGGACCATCACGGTTGGTTTGATGATTCCCTTCCCTGTCATATAATAAATTGAAGGATCTTCTATGAAATGGGAAGAATGCTCAAGACGTTTTGTACACCACCATCACAGGCAGCCGACTTCATTGACTCATGCTCCACGGGTAGGGCATCAGATTCCTCATAGGGGACGAGTCGTAAATACCTCTCTAATAATTATTCTTTGTATCAAGTAGCGCCACGGGATTCTCTGAAAAAGGGTTCTTGACCTCGTCATACTAGAGTGGAACTCTGAAAACGAGTCGGCTCTGTCTGGTTTTGTGTATCTGCAACGTATGGCTCACGTGAATCGCCATAATTCGAAACGAGTACTCGTACTCTCCCTACGAAAGTGATTTTCCGACAGTCTTCCCCAGGAGCAGAAGGACCGGTCGTCGGTTTCAACCATTTTTTCCTGTGTTCCCAGGCCTATGGTAGTTCCCTCGTTGAACAGTGTGAGACAGGAAAGACGATGGCTGAACGATGGAATCTCACTGTGTTTCTAGAACAACGCCCGCCCAGCGAGTATTACAAAGGTCGCTCGATGTGAGGATCCGGTCTCTACAGCGAAAACCGATATTCGCATGCAGAGAATATCCACGAGAGCCTGTTCGGACCTACTCCGAGCTTGGCAGAACCGATCTCGTCTGGTTCTCAACGATCGCATGCGAAAACTCAGCGCAAGCACCAGTCGGTAAACAACTTCCTAATCGCGGGATGGCGTCGGGTGTGATGGAGATAATCGCACCGACATGCCGCGCAACTCTTTTGCTGGTCACATATTTTCCTGAGTGGCCACCAGTCGACACGGTGGGCTGGTCCAGCGGTAGTTTAGGGGCGGTTCAACGGAGTCACGATTCAAAAACCGCATCATGAGACGAAGGCAGAGCGAAATTCAGTTCCGAATCCGCGGCGACACCACGAAGGCTAGTGACAACCGGCTACATCTCACTCAGTCAGTCTCAGTCGAATTTGACAAGATGCCTACCACGATGTTTCGGCTGTTGGCCGATCGGAGCTTGGGGGGACATCGATCTTTCTAGATCGATTCATTGTTTAGGAAGGCATCACTGTGGAGATTTGCAGATTTATTCCGAAAATCACAGTCTTGATCACTAATCTGATCTCGGGAGCTCCTCCGAAGCTGATACACGCCTGTTCACCGGAGTCTCAGAGTGAGTAACCGCAGCTGTACCGTCTACGTCGGCGAAACGGGACCGCAAGCGCCGATCCCCGTCAGGTCATTAGAAATCGTGTCCAGAATCGGAGAAGCTGACCAGATCCCAAGTATCGCTCGCGTGCCACTAATTTCGCTGCGATCCTGTTCCCGTAGAGAAATGACTGTGATGTCGGTGGAAATGTGTATTCGAGCTTCTATCTCCGGAGCATTGGCGCCTGATCGAATTTTCCTTCGGCCATCAGTAGCCCCGTCGCCAAGATGCATTATGGCAGAGCTGAGCTGACAGCCCGAAAGCGAGCCGGAGGATTTCTTCTATCTACAGGGACAGACTTTCGCCACGGAATCTGAATTCTATGAGCTTGGCCGGGACGTAGGAGTCGAAATCCCTTGTTCGCGCGGAGCGTGTGCTGAGCATCGACCCTCGTTCCCTGCTTTCCTCTTCTGAATGCATCGCATGCATTTCAGCGGAAACGATCTTCTCACCTTCACATCCTCACGGTATATCCTGATGAGCATTGACAGGAGACTTCACGCGACCCGTCGCGGTGAGATCGTATCCATCTGAAACCCGGACATTTTTCACACATATCATGCATGACACCACTCGATCGGTGAGGGTGATAATCGCAGAAGCGGCGGTGACAACAGAAGCGGACCTCCCCGGACGTTGATGATATGTGTATTACACCCCACACTGTCCGATTCTGAGCCTAAACCGAATGGGCGTAACGCGTGTGGATTTCGTTTTTCTGTCTGGTGATTCCACCCCTCTTCGGCGCCTCTAGCGTGACTTCTGTCCACTGTCATAGGGGGTGCGGCTGCGACGACCGCGGTGTCCCCCGTGTTCGCCGCTGGTGCTCGCTCGGTGACGACGATCCCGGCGGCACAACACGATCTACCGCCATCAGAAGCCATGCGCCCAAGCAACTAGCCAACGAACCGAGCTGACCGGCCACGCACATCGAGATAAGACAGGTGTGCGTTAGATCGCGAGAAGAGAAGATGTTTATATCGAGAGTTTCTGCTGGCTTTCTCTTCGCCGACGGCCCGCACCTTTCAACGGATGTACATATGTATCGAAAAACCCGCGAGATTGACAGAAGACGTTGATGCGACGCTAAAAACGCACCTGGTTGCCAGGCGGTGGGTAAGTGAGAGAAGCACTCAACTCACTCGTTCGCTCAGAGTTGCGAAGAGCGTGGTCTTCTTGTCAACTGTGCACGTCGGGAGTCGGAACGCCACGGTTAAATTAGCAAAAGCGTCTCCCTGTCACCAAGAGATTAGATTTTTCGAGGAATCCCCATTAGGGAGAAACGTCTCGAAACTTTCATGAATGGATGCTCTCGTACCGAGGCGAATGACGTTAGCTCTTGTAATCAGAGAAGAATCTCGAGTACGACTCGATTTCGCCTTCCTCTTCGCAGGTGTGGCGACGTGATCTCTCCGCATGACTCCTGGACTCCCCGTAAGAAGCTGGGTCGATCGCGATTCTCCTGCTTTCGTGCTTGGCGATAAATCGATAGTATCCTGACTCGCTCGGGAAATCGGGGTGCGCTGGCTGACTCTTTATCGAACCGTTCTGCTCAAGGAACCGGGGGCATGGACTTCCAGGGTGCTCTTCGAGTGGGCTTCTGGATACAAACGAGTTCGCTTCCGCGACTCGATCACTCGGAGAGCTCTGCCGATGACTGGATTTGTGTTCCTCGTCAACCGGAGCCTGTCCAGGACGACGGAGGGCCACTCCTCGTGCAATCCAATCGTTTGAACGATAGGATGGGTGGACTGACCGTCGCGTCGGTCCGACTTGCCACCTACGAAGCCAAGGTCTTGCTTGAATCACCGATATTTATATACGCGACTCTAAGTGCGCCGGATCCGAATGGTTTCTGTGAACTACCCTTAGAATTCGCGGAGACTGAACTTCCGCATGAGCTCTTCGGCAGAATACTCGCTCTGAGACTGCGTAGTGTGCCGGAGTTTCTCGGTCGATGGCGGTCGATCGGGATGTCAAGACTCCCACAGTCCCATATCAGGTCACGATAGCTACGTCTGATCTCACCCGGAAACGCACCCGTTTGATGCGATGAGACAATAACAATGATCGGGTCTTGCGAGCAGCTGTCGCCGCGACCGCGAGGCTCCTGGGAAGACATGCAGAAAACTCTCCCCGGGAAAATCATCACGATCAAGAGGAAGACCGGAAGTTATGACAGAGTCGGTATTGAAAAAGAACAAAGCAGCGGGATAGAGAGCGAGATGACTCGGAACTACAGCTAGCTCGGAATAGTAGTGGAACCTCAGGAAGGGTCCTTGGAAGCCCCACGAAGCTTGTGCTCTTCGAGTCAGCTTCGTTCGGTACTTCTGTGCACAAAAGCACGAAGATCTCTTACTCGAATAATTGTGTCCGAGGTTTCCTTTCATTTCGCTTCATTAACATCTCCGAGGATATTCACATTCTTTGTACAATCGCTACAGTCGCTGCATTGCTCTGCACGCTCGCGCTCATATGTTTTCCCTGATGTTCCTTAAGAACTCGCTGACGTCGTCCTCCCTCTTCCTGTTATCGCTCCTTGCTCTACCATAACGATCGTTGTAGGAGGTTGGTGGAGCAAATTCCGCAGGTCTCTCCTCGCGTTTCTCCTCAAAGTAGTCCCTCTTAGGCGGTAATCCTGAAATGATCGTTCATCGGAGGATAAGTTACGGCTCAAGTCGCACGGCGTCATGATCTGAGATTTCCCGCCGAGCGGCAGGAGCACACAACTTACTTATGGGCACTCCATGAACTTCCTTGCCCTCGTCCCAAGGTCGGATGTGCGACGTCGAGTGGGTCGGTCGCAGCGAGGGCTGAGATGGTGGAGGCGGGGGAGGCGGAGGCGGCGGCGTTGGCTGCGAGGAAGATTCGTTTTTTATGGATATCAAGAAACAGTCGCATGAAGATTAGAAGTCTGCGCAATGGATCCGGGGAACCATTTCACATTACCTCAATGGGCTCGTCGGGTTCCGGCGCTAGACCTCTTCGAAGTCGGATCTTGTTCATACGTTCCTTCCGAATCTTTTCTCTGGACTTTTTGATCTCTTGAGCCATTCGCTGAGCTCTGGTGGAATCGTCTCGCAGCTTATCGAGGATCTTCATCTGATGAGCTCGTTCCGTCTCGTCTCTTGAGAACTCGAAATGGGCCTGCAGGGATTCAGGTAGCGTCAGTTGCCGTAACAATAACGCACGAGCTGATGATCACCGCGACTCATCCCCAATAATGAATGGCCGGTCTACCCACCTGCCCGTGCTCCCTGATTTCATCGAAGAGGACGTCTCGATAATGTAGATGCTCTTTTGAGTTGTTCTGTTGCTCAATTTCGTCCCATTTCTGGAGCCGCTCTTGTTTCCCAGGATCCTCTGCTGGATCTGTCGCCTCCACAGGCGGACCCTCCGGCAGCGGGATATTGACGAACGGGTCGGAGGCTGGAGCTTCAGGGGTCTGACTTCCGGGTCGTTGAGATTTCAACGACTCTGTGAGTTTCATGTCTTCGTTCCGATAATGCGGCAGATCAATCTTGAGGCATTTCCTAGTCCTCCCCAGCGCATCCTCGAAGGTTGTCCTGTAATCGATTCGTGTTATGAGCCCCCAATCATGCTCGTCATTCCCCTCCTCAAGTGGTCCCAACATCCTCGAAGATTCCGAAGATTTCCCGACGTGTCTCACCATTCGCTATCCGAGTCTGAACTGTCCTCGTTGGCCTCTTGAAGATGCTTCTGTTCCAGTTTCCTCTTCCGATTGAAGTCGATCAGAGAGTCCTCGGTCTCCTCCGTCCACGCCTCGGCCTTCTTCGCATCGTATAGTCGAGCTTTCTCTTCGAGACGGCGTCTGAGAATCAATCAGAATCAGATCATCTTCTCGTCCGGGGTGCAGGTTCTCCGTTCCCCGAATCATAGCGCCGAAAATTCTGGAAATTCTCGAGTGCGGAATCTCCTGATCCTCAGAAGTTCTTCCGGAAGCATCGTCGAAAGAGACAGAACCACTATAAGAGTTCTCATATCAATATATCGCAATATGCAACCTCGATTCATTTAGCGCCTCCTCCTCGCCGTCGTCTGCGGGTGGAACGTGTTCCGATTCCCTCACTTTCGGTTTTCGTAATTCAACTTTGAAGCCACCTTTCCTGACAGTGAAGGGCTCGATCTGCAGCGAAAATGGAAGCAACTGAGAATATTGCCCCCAAAGAGAAAACGTGAGCTCCGTCATATTTCGAACGAGCTCAATAATCGGACTTCACCTTTTCCGAGTTGTTTTTATTCTTCACATTGTTGTACTTGCGGAGGAGCTCGGCCTTGAGATCCAAAATCTGTGTGGAAGAATGAGTATGCATTGGGGTGAACGCGTAAGGACAGGCGATCTCGGAATATCTACGTCTGTGCACGGATGGCAGGATGGTGAGCCATTCCGTTTGTCATCTAGGCCACAGCAGAATATATTCGAACTTACGGCCGCGGATCCCGAAGCGATATTCATGGCTCACTAGAATGGGAGATCAAACAAGGAATAGAACACCACCAGGGACTCTGTGCTCCACAACTCGACCAGCTGAGCGGACCGAACTTTTCACGCCGTCCGTCGATCTTCCCGCACGGATGGATGCATTCTTGTTATCGTTGTTCTCGGCATAGCGGTGGTGACGGCGTGGCATGGCGGTTGGAGCGACCGAAGAGGAATCGCGCGCTGTAGGAAAAGCTGAGCAAGGACAGTGATGAGAGCAGGAGAAACATTTATTCATGAAATTTTCTCCTTCGCGTTCAGGAATCAAATATTTGACTGTACACATGAACCTAGATGACTCCCTGGAGTCTGGGAGACTCCGAGGACCGTCTAGCCTAGCCCGACCCGCAATCCGCGAAGACTGCCGTCGGTCACCAGAATCTGTGACGTCCTCGTTGCCCGAGAACGGACGAGAGGGGAGACATTTGGGAGGGCGTTTCTCGACTCTTGTTTTAGCTCGGGAGAGATCTAAGTTTCCGGCTCGAACTCCGTCTCCAATTCTCACTCGAGCTTCAACAGCTGATTGATGCTATTCGCCACCCTGTCACATACTTCGCTCTGATCAGCAGAACCGTCGATATATTCGACATTCGCAATGTTTTGATCCACGAATCCTTTAAGTTTGAGATATTCTGGGAAAACGATTGCATCGAAGTAGCCCGGAGGATCTGGTGGATCGTATACGCGCTCTGAAATCGGACATCGGATCAATCGGCGACCTTATGATGATGATTGATGATCAGGCCTCGACTTTCGTCGCGGTCCGTGACCGCGATTTTTCGTTGCATTGCGGGGCGTATCCCCATCGAAAGTCTATGGGAGCCTGAAAATGCCGCGGATTTCCGGCTAAAAGGCCGCGACGAAAGTTGAGCCCTAATGATGAAAAGCAACCATTCGCAGCACTAGAGCAGCGTCATCATGACATCATAAAGAATCCTCGTAGGGATCGCTTATCCATGCGCACCTTTGCGTCGTTCCCAGCATTGTTCTCTGGTCAGCGTGAAGAAATAATTGAGATCACTCCATTTGACAACGTGCGGGTCGGCGTAGAGTAGGTGTCCCTCGAGCACAATCAATCGGTACGGGAGTTCCTCTCCGCTTCTCGTTAGGTCAATCACCTGAATCAATGTATTTTCTGTCAGAAACAACAAGTTCGGCACACTTATTATCGTGATCATTCATATTATTATTCCGCGCCACCAAGACCTGACTTCTTCCCGCCGCGGAAACTCATTGAATTTCTTCACCTTCTGCTTCAGCGCCTGGAAGTCTACTGACTCGGGAATTTCCCAGTTCTGGCTCCGGAACTCAGAATTCTCAACCCAGACATGTCTTGGATCATCGGGCTTCAAAAAGAAGTCGTCTTGATTGATGTACTTCAGATGCGGAAAGCGACGCCTCAATTTAGTTGTCAGCGACGTTTTACCGCCGTTGGTGACTCCGCCGACGCAAACGAGAGAGAAACCATCGCCGACGACCATTTGCGGCTGACTACGGGTTCGCGGGTAGAGACTAGGGCTGAATCCTGATGAGCTGAAAGCAAGAATTGGCTGACTCGCGGGGACGATTCTCTCGGGCTCCCCGGAGACAGAACCTCAACGGTTGCGAAGGACTTCCAACATTTCGGGATTCTCAGGCGTCTCTGGTTATCGAGGCAACGGAGAATTTCCGATTAATCAATGTGATGGATGGGAAATCTTTCCGAACCTTTATCACTTGGACACTCACGTCCGGTATCGGTGAGACTTCCGAGCCCTGACTGCCTCCGACTTTCCCAAAAGAACTTCCAACTCACAGAAACATGCGAAGGGTCCGGAACAGCTGATGATCGCAGTGAATGTTTCCCTACTGCCGAAGGCTCGGCTTGAGACCAACCAGTTTTAATCGATTGTTTCTTTCGAATCCCACAAGGGGACGCTACTAGCGGCGGCACTCTCGCTCGCGCAGCGCTGACAGAGTTTCCATACCCTCGAGAGGGGGACGTGATTCCTCAATCAGGGACTTGCTGACAACTTGGTAGTCGAGGAGATCTTCTCGGCCAATCTCGGCAATCTATCGGAGACTCGGGAATAGAGCAATGTCTCGCCGAATACTCCTGCGCAGAATAGCTTCTGGTTCGAGCGGTTCGAGAGATCGAATGAACGACTCTCTGCCGGACTCCCGAGGAGGGATCTCGCTCACGGATGTCCAAGCCACTTATCTTTTCATTTGATCTGGATTCCTTCTATCAAAACTCCAGTACTTCGATTCGCGCAAATGCGCGAGATTCGCTGTAAGAAGCCACCGCAATGCTCCGGTCTTCCGCGGTGTGTCATCACGTCGATTGCTCAGTGACACATTCGAAGGTTCCCTCAGCTTCAATGCATCGAGATACTCCTCTGTCTGAGACCGCGGAGGCGGGGGGGGGGGAGGCAGGCGCGTTTCCAGAATTTTTTTTTGGGTAGGGGGGAAATTTTTTTTCCGAGGACTATCTATAGCTGGCTGGAGAGAATCGATCCCGTGTACTGCGCTCACAATTCATGCAATCGCTGTCGCATGCTGACTGTTTCGAGAAGAAACTGGTAAGTTTTCCCTGACCTTTCATCATGAGAGCTCTTCGAATCTGACTAACGATTCCTCAGTCGCGTTGGCCGTAAAATCCGCCCTCGATCGACCTAGTGGCTTAATGGGGTCACGCTAGAAACTCGAACCGCCGTGAATGTCCCCAAAAGCTATGATCTTATTTCCGAGAGAAAGAGTTCAGCCGTCTATCGAATCTTCAACGCGCTCAAGTTCGAAAGATAAGGCGCTGACGTTTTTCCATGAATGAAAACCTAAAAGTTTTACTTTCGAAGTCCGACTCAGATAGTATGAAGCCGAAAATTTGCCCCCCTCCTGGATACGCCTCGTGGGGGGGGGCGTCCATTGAGCGCTCTCACGCTTGCAATTCCAACGGGTGGTGTGCATCTATTCGCGAGGCACTAGGCTGGTCTGCCAAGACGATAGACCTTGTCGACCAGGATGCGGGAAATGACATTCCATTTGTCCGAACTCAGTCGAACGACAATGAGCACAGCCTCAATAACCTCGGCGGCCTCGCTGATGAAAGTCTAACATAAGAAGCGAAGCGTAATCCTGGAAGTTCAATAGCTCCTTAGGCGACACAACGTGAGACTGCAGCGAAAGGGTCTTCCCGGGGATCGAAGCGATCAGCGCCACCCAATCATTCACTTTGGGGCACCGGTTCGAGCTTCCCGGATACTACAGAGCGCCCCATCGGAAGCAGAGCGCCACGATCTCACGCATCTCGGAGGCGAGGTGCCCATTGAGATAACCATTCGGGCGAAGCTCAAGCTTTGACCCGGGAGAGCGCATTTTCGTGAATCCAATTCCCAATGGTCGAGAACGTTTTTCCACGTTCGGCAGACACTGTTGCGGAGTTCTTGCAGGGCCAACTGCGTCCGTGGATGTTCAAGAACCCGTTGCGAGATGGGCTTCGGTGGAAGGAACCTAGGGAAGAGAAAGCACCGGAGAAGGAAGGCGCAGGCGATTCGGACTCGAAAAAAAAAGACGGTGGACGAAACGTTGGGTGGAAGAACGGGAATTCATTCGAATATTCACTCAATTAGACTCCACCTGAATACGGGACTTCGGAGAGCCAGGTGGGAAAAGAAATGTACAGAAATAAGGAGTACACGCGCGAGGAGGGCCTGGAAGAAATGAAGATTGCCGAAGCTATACATGTACCTCACTGAACGGATCCATCCCGCCTACTTTATTGCCATAATACCATCGTAACTTCGTACGTCATGTTAAATGAATCACTGCTGTGTGAATAGATCGGAGTTCCCGTACTCTCGCTTTGCACTCAATGTCAGGCATACCAGCCGGCCTTTGGCCGGCCCAACGCCCAGTATGTTGCGTTATTTGCGCCGAAGTAGATGCCATGGCTAGGGCAGAATTGGAATTCCGAATGTTGTCATGAAAGTTATGCTGGCGCGATCGGTTTTCGGCAGGAACCGCGTTGTTGATAGAGGAAAGCTCCTTCAGGTATGAGGGGAAGTTCTCGAACAGCCGAAGTCGAACTCTTCCCAGCTCACAGCACGATTCCACGAATTGACCCCTATGATTGGATTTTCCCTCCGCTTTAAAGTGAGTAGCTCCGCGATCAAAGCATACTCCTCCCATAGCTCCCAAAGTGAGTGGTTCACAATAACGGTTGCGTAGCGCGACCGCATCCTCTGACTGCCGCGAGCGTTAATTTTCCCTGCTCCTTCTCCGACGCTGGACGTCTAGGCTGCGTCTGTGGGCTAAGCGCTCGACGGAGTCATGTAGCTGGTGAACTATTTGTTCCTGCGGAGCTGCGCAGACGCAAGGATTCCGACGCGATCCTGCCGCGCGTTTTGCGGCTACCGGCACTGTCGTTTTGCGGAAATTTCGCGCTTATGGCGCGATTCCCTGCTCAGCCTCTGGCGCTGTGCTGCTCGGAGGTGCCGTTGATTCGAACCTTCCGAGTAGTCGTCTTCGGAGTTTGCCTGTGGGGCTGTTCGTGTCCGTGTTAAGCGAGTCGTAGTCGCTGTCGGCGTTCCGGGTGCCATGGATGACCGCGTTCTCTTGGCGACAGGTTCGTGAGGAGAGTTTCCCATGGTGAGGAATGCGACGGGGAAAAGATAAAGATGCGGAGGGAGAAAGATTGCCGCGCCAAAACGTTTGCCGTCACAGTTTCCTCTCGACATCGAGGCCGGAAAAAGATATGCCTCGAGCCCGTTCTCTTTCTGCTGGAAAAATTATCTCAGGATGCATCTTGCGGGCCCATCTCGGCTCAACTGAACAATGTAGTGCTGAAGAACCGAGGACTTGATCACGGTGAAAATCGTGGGCTGTACGTGGAATTCTTCGAGAGACAAACGATAAGCGCTTCCGGCAACGCGATCCACATCCGTCCACCGGAATACTTTCCAGGAGGGAGCGATAGCCATGTGTCGTGACATCGAGAAAGAAGACCACCGAAAGCCTAGCGGATGTTCATCTCTCGAGTTCGCCATGAACTTGGCAAGAGCTTCTGGTTCTCTTTCTCACAAAGCTCCCGAAGACCATGCAACGGATTTTCAATCGTTCTCGGCACATCCGCCCGTTCAGAGCTGGTTTCTGTACCTTGTGAGAATCCATCGCAATGCTCTTCGGTCTTTTTATGTGTGTCGTCACGTCAATCGGTGAGCAACATACTCGAGATTCTCAGGGTTGCAGTGGATTAGGGAAATCCGAGACAGCGCTCATAGCTCTTATGCTTGCAGCTTACACGGGCGGTGTACATCTATTCGTCAGGCTCTCGGCGGGTCTGCCCAGACGAGAGAGCTCGTCAAACAGAATGCGGGAAATCACTTTCCATTTGCACGAACTCAATCAAACGATAGTGAGCGGAGGTACATTGATCTTGGCCGCCGATGAAAATTTTGGAAGCAAAGCTCATTCCTGGAACCTTAATAGCTCTCTGAGCGACAAAACGGATTACTTCAGCGGAAGGGTCTTCTCGGGGATCAAATTCAACCATGTGAGTGGATTAGTGGCACCACTTAAAAATTCATTCTTAGGCACCTGTTTACTCCCCTTGGTCAAAACGATGCATTCTCCGGAATCGGAAGTAGAGCGCTTGAACCCTCCACAGACGAATTTCCGCGATCGTCGTGTGGGAAACTCATGCTTGGGCTTCCATGTGAAGCTCGAGATGAATGGCGAGCGCCTTGCATGGAATTGTCTCAGGATCCACCCCGACTGGATGGGCGAAATCCTTCTCACTCATCCCGGTTTCGGTCGGTATGTTTTTCTCCAAAACCGAAGCAAAGCATCACGAGAGATTAGCAAGGAGAGCCCGACGTTTAGGGACTCATAGATGAAAACAGCGAAGGAGATCCTACGGATGCAATTCGCGATTATTCTCAGGGTCCCTCCCTCTGACGTATTTGGCAGTGCCAGGAACGCACAACGCCGGTTCCTTCAAAGTTTTCGAGGGAACCGACGACATGGACGAGTTATATCGCGACTGCCAGGAAGAGGACACGTATACGCAGCTGATCTACGGTTCTCGATATCTTGATCTTCGACCGGGTATCAATTATGTCAAGCAGGTCAAAGGTTAGAAAAGGGACGGTCCTCAGCATAAGCCATAGCTGAATCCGCAGCTGCTCTCTCAAGAACGCGATTCTCCCAGGAATCACGGAATTCTGGATATTCCATTGGGTCCTCCAGACGAATAATCGGCTTCGAGATGTTCTGCTTGATGTGAAGAGGTAATCCGTTGATTGTGCGCTCACAATTGGAATCCAGAAAGAGCTCATCGGGGGAATTCGTCACTGACACTTCACTTCACTTCATTCTAGGTTTCTGGACGAGCATCCGGCTGAAGTGGTCTTCGTCGACTTCCACGAGTTCCCTTATTTCTTCGATCATTACGCAGAATTAGACCAGCTCGTTGAGAACTGTTTGGGCAAGTTTATGGACTTCGCTTCCAGAATGAATCAGGCGCTTCCAGAATGAATCAGGCGCTTCCATAATGAATGTATCAGGCTAGACCGAAGAACCGCCCCGAATATCGATCGTTTATGTTTATCAGGGGGCTACATCTTCAAAGGGGACGCTTTCAAAACGACACTGTCAGAAGTTCTAGCGTCTGATCAACGAGCCGTCGTATCCTTTGCAGAGGGCGCGAGACTCTCCAAAAAGTTAGTCCATTCGACCATACGAGTTCCGAATTATGCTGGGACTGAAATGTTATGCCCCGATACGAGGGGGACCCCGATAGGTGGAGTACTCGATGAGTGATTACGGAATGGGGTGCAATCTGCAGGTACCTTCCCGGCGTGCAGCACATATGGGCCGACACCGACGTGCTCTACGATCTCAAAGTATTTGTTGAACGCACACAAATGGACAAACACTTTTCCGGGAGACGGTTCCTATATTCGGCGATGGCTGAACTCACACCAACCGGTAGGACGCTCCTTAGTATTTTAAGGCCAAGCATATCACCTGGCCTGATATGTGTTGTATGATATCCTTGAATTCTATGTTGATGTATGTATCATGGAACCTTGAGATTTCGGAACTTCCTGTTGATTTCTCGGTAACCCTACTGGCTCTTCAGGTTGGGGCATCGCGACAAATCGCTACGAGGGGGTCCGAGGTCTGGCACACCAACACAATCTACAGATCTCTTCGTGGTGGGTGTCAGATCCCTCGTACCGGGACTCCTCCAACATCGTGTCGGTGGACTATCTGATGTCGTCGGACATCGTGGAGGCGTGCATATCGATAAACTCAGAACGCGCACAACAGGGAAGCCTTAGCAGGAACGGAAATCTTCGGAGCTCCGACGGGAGACGGAATCTGGCGTCTAACGTATACGGTCACGCGACCTTCCCTTTCCTCCCACCAGCTTAGAGAACTCAGGCTGCACGCTTGTGACCACCTTCAAATACGTTCTAGAGCGAAGGGCTCTCAACCAGGGTTCAAGAGTAACCCCAGGGGAGTATGGGTTCCAGGGGGGGGGGCACGGGAAGCTTCCGGAGGGTTGGTAACGATGATGAAGAGCAAGAACACGAAAAATCAGATGCATTCAAAGCGAACTAATTTATACAAAATGAAGTACGAATTTATTACTGTACAATCGTGTTGCTCAGTAGAGAGTTCTATTTCGAGCCCAAGAAAGCTGCCATTGGATCACCTGGACGACTCCTCTCAGGACAATAGGCTTCCATCTCTTCTTCTGGCGCTTTAGCATCGTACATGGAGTTGTAATTTCGCTTGCGCTCATCAGTTTCCTGCTTCTGGTCTTCGTCGAACTGGCGCATGGCTTTGGCGATCTTCTTTTCTTTCGTGTCCTTCTCGCGCTTGTGCTCCTTGTTCCTGCGCTTCTTCTCATTCCGCCTCGCTTCCCTAGAATTCCGGTTACCCGTTGAGATGGCTGTAGGTGAATGTGTAAGAGCTATAATGATTGAAAGAATCCTCGAATGAATACCCACTTCTCCTCTCGACGCTTCTTCCACCGTCTCTTTTCTTCCGAGTCCGAATCGCTGTCCCCCGACTCTCCGCTGCTCTCACTTTCTTTGTCTTCTTCGTCCGAAGCCGATTTCGCAACGGATTCCCGAACATCTGCGGAGGTGGTCGGCTCCTCCGAGGACTTCGCGACTGGTTCTGCGAAATGGAGGAGGACTCTTGCTTATGCTCCATAGATTTGATCCGGTCACCATTTTGCTGAGAGTGGACCCCGTTGAACCCTTTTCGACGCTCACACACACTCTCGGCAGTCGATGCACCCGTGGTCTCATCGTGCTCATGCACAAGTCGCATCTCTGCATCCCTCCAGAGCTGCGGTTACCAGACAATGGAGATGGGAAGGATACGACGAGCTCGGAAGACTTTGGAACTTGAGAGCCTACTGCACGATTGTCCGCGTGCAGCTCCGAAGATTTTCAGTTCTGTGGGGTCAGAGTTCGGAATTACCGGGCGTGAATGCCGCGAGAGGAGGAAAACAACTGTTCCCGGAGGGATCAGGGTAAAAGTCGGGGAGAACGATGGTGCCTATATAAGAAGCGAGGCTCCAGAGAATAAATTATTGATTGGAGATATCGATGGTTGAACGTTGAACTGTCCGACAACCCGAAGTCCTTTACTAGCTATGATGATGATGATTAATTTACATCGGAGACTTCTCGGTCACTACATCGGTCACTCCTGATACTGAGGGGAAATTAATTCGGCAGGAGGAGCTTTGAGATGCTCCTCGCCGCCATACTTGACCAGAATGGATGTCTTGATGGTGTGTCGAACTTGATCCTTCTTCTCTTCGAACTCCTTGGTTAGCATGGACGCCTTGGTAGGTTCAGCACGGAGATGGATATTAACCCCGCTCTTATCGGCTCCCCGGGCGGGAGCTGCGAGGAACAGAATTTGAGGCTGAGATTCCTACTCGGGCTATTCGGTCTCTTAACCAATGATCCGACATCTTGGACCTCCAGAAAGTCCCGCTATCGAAGGGACCTATTCCAATCGGACCGCGCTTATGTTCTTCGGTATGCAGCGAGGAATGCACCGAAAGCACTCTGAAAATGCTCCAAGTAATTCCATTCAGGTTGAGAACTTCAAAATTCCTACGAGCGGCCATCGAAGCCGAGCTGGGGGAGGGTGCTCGTATTATTTGGCATCATTCTTGCTTTTTTCCGGCCATTCTCCTTGAGTTCTCTTGAGTGCCCCATCCTCGGGGTTCACACATCATTTCAATGGATCAGGTAAACCGTATTCGGAGACGATCGCCGTGGCGTCTTGATAATTCTGCTACGGGTGGCGCGCGGAGCGGATTGGAGAGGACGGAAAGACAAAACGATAGCCAGCACGGACAATGATTTCTGCCGCCATGAAGTCTCGCGGGTCGAAGAGTGGACGATTATGCCCCCCATGTAGAATATTCGGGGAGAATACGGCGTTGCCGCGAAATTCTGGGCTTCTTGAATCTCGGGCTAATGATTGCAGACTCCCTGCGCCCAAGTCCAGGAAACCGCGGAGCCTTCGCTCACGGAATCTGGCATCCCCGGATATCGGCTATGGCGATTGACTGACACATCGCTGCTTCGCTTTTCGGGAGCCGAGGGAGCCTTGCGAAGTCGATGAGGACCATCAGTGTGAAGAGGAAAATATGCATCGAGCAACTGAGAAATATGAGTTCGAGCAGGCAGGACAAACATCGCTCTCGAACCAGTCTTCGATGCTGCACGGATCGGAAATACTGCGGAAATACCAGCTTAGAGAACTCAGGCTGCACGCTCATGACTACATTCAAATACGTCGGGAGCGAAGGGCACTCAACCAGGGTTCAAGCGCAACCCCAGGGAAGAACCGGTTGGTAACGATGATGAAGAGCAACAACACGAAAACTCCGATACATTCACAGCGAACTAGTTTATTTACAATAATGTACGAATTTATTACTGTACAATCGTGCGGCTCAGAAGAAAGTTCTATTTCGAGCCCAAGAACGCTGCCATTGGGTCATCTGGACGACTCCTCTTACGATAATAGGCTTCCATCTCTTCTTCCGTTGGCGCTTTACCATCGTACATGGAGTTGTAATTTCGCTTGCGCTCATCGGTTTCCTGCTTCTGGTCTTCGTCGAACTGGCGCATGGCTTTAACGATCTTCTTTTCTTTCGTGTCCTTCTCGCGCTTGTGCTTCTTGTTTCTGCGCTTCTTCTCCTTGCGCCTCGCTTTCCTAGAATTCCGGGTACTCGTTGAGATCGCTGTGTGTGAATGTGTAAGAGCTATAATGGTTGAAAGAATCCTCGAATGAATACCCACTTCTCCTCTCGACGCTTCTTCCGCCGTCTCTTTTCTTCCGAGTCCGAATCGCTGTCCCCCGACTCTCCGCTGCTCTCACTTTCTTTGTCTTCTTCGTCCGAAGCCAATTTCGCAACGGATTCCCGAACATCTGCGGAGGTGGTCGGCTCCTGCGAGGACTCCGCAACGGGTTCTGCGAAATGAAGGAGGACTTTTGCTCATGCTCCATAGGTTTGATGCGGTCACCATTTTTCTAAGAGTGGACCCCGTTGAACCCTTTTCGACGCTCACACACACTCATGGCAGTCGATGCACCCGTGGTCTCATTGTGCTCATGGACGAGTCGCATCTCTGCATCCCTCCAGAGCTGAGCTTACCAGACAATCGGCCGGTTTGTCCCGTTTCCGGAATTTCGGGCTGAACCAGCCCCAACAGACTGGGGGGAGGTATAGACCTAGCGGGCACATCCCGACACCGGAGGGAACGAACCGAGCTGTCTTCGGCACTCCGTGATCCCTCAACTGAGCCTCACAGAAGCTCGATCACAGTGGCACGCCAACTTGACCGGCATCTTTAGACCACTTGAAGTCTCATACACGGACAAGCTCTCTGCTAATTCGGAGTATGAGCTTTGCCTGAAGTATGATTAATTATTTACGTACCTCGCCTTTCTGATGCGTCATCGTAGACAGAATCTTGACTGGGCTGGCTGTCGCTGTCTCGATCCGGTCGCTTGATGAGGGCCGAGCCGCTGTCGCGAACGAGCTTGCCCGTGCTTCCAGTGCAATAGCTGTTCTTAACGGTCGAATGACAGCATTTGTATCCCCATTTGAAATTGTCCCAATAGGAGCCCCAAACGGTCGTGTGATTGTTGATGAAAACATCCTCTTCGTATTTGGAGCGAATGATTTTCCGCTCAGCTCCTTTGATTATCTGGCCCGTCCGGGAGTATTCGACGTAGTGTTCCTGAAAAGCCATCCTATTCAATCAATTCTTGGAACCTCACTCAGTTAGTTCCGATGAGACTTGAACACGGATTCACCATTGATTCACTACCGTGCATGAACTACTCGGTAAGGGTAACCTGAAGGCGGAGAATCCCACCGCGGTCGAATCAAGCTTTTTTCGCAGCAAACGGACCGTGATAGTTATGATGACGATTAATTTATATGGGAGACTTCTGCGGATTCCAGATGGTCGCTCCTGATACTTACACTCTGAGCGAAAATTAATTCCTTCGGAGGTGCTTTGAGATGCTCTTCGCCGCCATACTTGTCCAGAATTGACGTCTTGATGGTTTGTTGAACTTGCTCCTTTTTCTCTTTGAACTCCTTGGTTAGCATCGACGCCTTGGTAGGTTCAGCGAGAAGATGGATATTGACCCCGCTCTTATCGGCTTCCCAGGCGAAAGCTGCAAGGAACAGAATTTGAGGCTGAGATTCTTACTCGAGATATTCGGTCTCTTAACCAATGACCCGTCATCGTGGACCTCCAGAAAGTCCCGCTATCGAAGGGACTCATTCGAATCGGACCGTGGTTCCCTTTGCGCTAATAACTCACTTTGCGCCTGGAGCAGCTCTTTTGTGTCACCACTGAAACGCACGAAATTCTCTCCGGCGAAAGACACTTCATCCGACGTTTTCCCAGTGTTCTTGTACGGGTTGTCCCTCATCGATCGAGTTTTAGGATCGTAGTGAGCTGAATCAGGATCGAGGTTGCGAAGATATTTCGCCGTGTCTTCTCGTATTCGGAGATTCCTCACTGTTATCCGCTGCTTGGAGTCGACTTTCGTGCCTGGCATGTCGATCTTAGGAAACATGAAAGTCGTTAGGAATTTGAGCTTCCCAAATTTCTGGCGGGAATCTGTTGGGGGATGAGTTCACATCTTGCTTCGGAGCACCATAAGATTCGCTCCGATCGGAAGCTCGACGGGGAGGGCTCTCACAAACTCACCTTGTCCGCGTATTTGTCCTCATCGTCGGAGTCTTCGTTGTTGGCTGAGGGCTCCGAGGTTCCTGCTCCGACGTCGTTCTCTTCTTTCAATTTCTGTTCTTTCAAGAGTCTTTTGGCCTCTTCCACACGGCGATACTCATCCACAACCTCTTTGAAGTGTGACGGGTCATACCTGGAAAAAGGATGCAGCGGTCGTTCATTTTACTGGAGCATACGCAATCGATGACGCGAGAGGTGGCGTTAAGCTCGATTCGACCCGCAAACTCACCCGTTCCATCTGTCTCGCTTTCCGTCGAAGTTCATGTTTAGTGAGGGCTGCACCACATCATCGAAGGCGATGTTTTTGTTCGATAATTTTGCTGGGATTCTTCGCGGGAGTTCGAAGCAATCTTTCCTTTTGTGGCCCATCGCCCCGCAATTCTCACATGCTCCTGCAGATTATGGAAAGTGAACCGTGAATCAGCTGATTCCGGTCGAAATCCTGCAGATGAGGGATGCGGTCGGGAATCATAATTACCTTCTCTCCATTTGGTGGCTCTAGCGGTAGAAGTTCCTCTGATGTAACTCTCGTGGATAGAGGAGAAACTCGCCTGCTTCTCCGGCTGAGGTCTCTGATGTTTGAGAGTGGGACCGCTGCTTCCCACGTACCATGGTACTGTCGAGATGTATTGTGGAATGTGTGGATTGATATCTCTGGTGAAGAGAAACTGTCAATGCGGTGCAGCAGAATACGATATCCGGGACGTATGTGCCTCGCGCTTGCACTAACTACCTGAGCGAGGTATTGTACTCACTTTCCGGTTTCGTCAACCGCAGCAGGAGCATTTCCGAGCTTTCTTGCCTCCTCGAGCTCTCTTTGCTGTCGCCACTCTTCACGAGATTGCTTCTTCGGTTCCGAGTCGTCCTTGCTCTTCAGCAACTCTGACAATGGCTTCGATTGATTCATGATGTGAACTCACCAACGTGCTGGTCGAGCGTGCAGAGCTCGAATGCTGCTTCGAGAAGAATGAATGGAACGAAATGTTCGAGCGAGATTCTAAGCGCCCACTCCAGCGGTTCTCATCAGATTTCCCGGGAACGCCGAAAGATGAGCTCGCGTTCCTCGAGATCCACGAAGGACGCCGAGGGATCAGCTCGAGCTCCCTGGGAGCGACAAGGAGGGCGAAGAATGGCAAATAGGAACCAATGAAACGCGTATAGAAGTCCTATTCGCTCATCGACAGCGGCAACAGACGAGCATGGTGGTGGTGATGATGATCTCTGCTGGTAAACAACGACTGCTCGAGAAGTCCCGGAGCCCTGCTGCTTTCTCTGCGGGCTCAGGAGGACTTCGACTCTCACTCCGTGAACTTTTCGAGGCGATCACTAAGTCAAGGGTTTGACCAAAACTGGTCAATGCTCGTGGGTAAAAGGTGGAGGAAGTCAAACGTTTCCGCAGCGGCACGATTTCACCAGTGAGGAGACTAGAGTTCAGGCGCTGACACTCTGGCACTCTTCAGAGGTTTCTCCAGACAGTGGTTTATTCAAACAAACTGAGGTTTTCTCATTCTAATGTCCTTCATAGAGAGAAAGGGAAAGATACATTACATGCTCTGCCTATCCGAGGCTTCTTTCACGGGTGGTCCGATCCCAGTTGAGATGTTCTAATTGGGTCCTCTCGTTGTTGCTCATTAATTTGTATGATGAACGCGATGCTCCTGCTGATTCCGCGGCTGCGTGTACATTCAGACAACCATCGCCCCAGTCTCGTGGCGGCTTGGCGTCCAATAAAATCTACATAGATGCCGACGGGTATGTGAGCCTTCGCGTCCGCGATTGATCAGACTCTCTTCTATCCAGGGCTTCAGAAACGTCAAGCTTTCCAGCACTCATCGCTTCTCTCTGATACCCCGAGAGTCTTCTGAGAGACACTTCGTTGGGGACTCGGAATTAGCGCTATCTATGCAGTGCACCTAACATCAATGTTCCAGCTCTGGTTCACGCCCTGACCACACCAATATTCCCCAAAGAATAGCTCAGGGAACGAAGGGACAGCATTGGCGGGGAAACGACGCGTCGTCGCGAAGTCTCCTGGGTACTTTGAACCCATGAGAAGTGCTCTCATACACGTCTGATTCAGTACTGCGACTTATGGTGCGAGGAGCACTCGAGGTGGGTTCTTGCGTCCCTTTTAAGAAGTGAGCGACTTCCCACCGTGTATTCCGGAATGCGAGACAGGGGCTTATGTTCTTCGATATGTCGCGAGGAATGCACCGAAATCACTCTGAAAGTGCTCCAAATAATTTCATTCAGGCTGAGATCTTCGAAATTCCTAAGAGCGACCATCGAAGTCAAGCTGAGGGACGGTTGCTCGTATTATTTTGCATTATTATTTGTTTTTTTTTCCGGTCATTCTCCTCGAGTTCTCTTGAGTGCCCCCTCCTCTGGGATCACACATATCACACATCATATCATCAGGTAAACCGTATTCGGAGACGATCGCCGTGGCGTCTTGATAATTCTGCTACATGTGGCGCGCGAAGCGGATGGAAGAGGACGGAAAGACAAAACAATGGCCAGCACGGACAATGAAGCCACCATGAAGTCTCGCGGGTCGAAGAGTGGTCGATTATGCCCTCCATTTGGAATATTCAGGAGGAATGCGGCGTTGCCGCGGAATGCTGAAGTCCTTCCGGGAACACCGAATTCTTGTGAGGGGGTCTTGTTCTGAGAGATGCGTCCTAAGAGTGACGGACAGGCTCGAGAAGCCCTTTGCGGGGAACATCAGCCACCTAGAGATCATCAACATCATTCTATGAAGTGTCTCCTGATGATTCCATCCTGGAAGAAATCGACTTGCCTTCTTCTTTGCATGTTCGCGCGAAAGGAATAGAATCAAAGAACTCTGAGACGCCCTCTGCCGTACACAGCCGCGCCTTGAGTACGCTTCTCGACAAAAAAAACGTGCGCGCCGGTCCCTTGTCCATGTGACAGAATTTCGTGTTCGATTTATCCTTCCCCTGGAGCTTCTCGAATCAAGGGCTTTCCGTTCATCCCGAAGCTCTCCATTCCCCTTAAGCCGTGCAAACATCGCGAAGGATGTTCGCGGCTAAGCCACCTCGACTCGTAATACTCTACGGGAGCCAGACCGGTAATGTTTCTTGAGAGCTCTCTAATGCTTACTCCGACCGGAGAAACTGGTCGATTCCAAGCATGCTCCAATAAGTTTGCTGAGCAAAGCTCATCCTTTGAAGGTACCGCTGAGGACTGCGCGGAACGAATCGGCCGCGAGGCTATGCGCCGACATTACGTCGACGTTACAGTGTTGGCTTGCGATGAATATCCGATGGAAGAGATGCTGCGCGATTCGTTCTTCTTATTCGTGATTGCGACAGCGGGGCAAGGAGACCAGCCGGACAACATGAAGAAATTCTTCCAACGCATCATGAGGAAAGCGTTGCCAGATAAGCTTTTCAGGTTCGTCTCATGTAGATCAGAGCTGTGCGCCGTATTCAGGACGCGGCGCGCGGTAATAGACTCAAGGGTTGAGCGTCATGGCGCGCCGCAGCGCTATTGAGTCTATGGGACTTGCAAGGCTCGGCGCGGCGCAGAGCTTCGATGTAAATCAGGGCTTCTCAAACCTCCCGAACACGCCTGCCACACTCTGCACCTCACAGCAGAGAAAGTCCCGAAAGCGAGCGTGGATCCACCGATCCTTCCGCTTGCGTTGCAGAATTTGAAGCCGCTTCTCCTTTCTGCCGCTCGATGGAACCACGTTGGACCGCTGAGTGAATTGGACCTTTGAGACTTACCATCTTTCTCGTGGAGATGCCTGCACCTCCTTCGGAGAAGGAGAGGTCGTGTCCCTCTTCCGAGGGCGCCGCGCCGCCGTAGATTGTCTTTCAGCTTCGATCCGCAGAGTAACATAGAGGGAACTGCTCGTGATAAGAGGAATAATTTTCACAGGCCTGGAGCTTCTTCATCATTGTGTGTTCTTACAGTCACATACACTTCGCGGTTTGCGGCCTTGGCGACTCTTCGTATCAGAAGTTCAATTATGCCGCGAGAAAAGTCAACAATCGAATGATTCAGCTCGGAGCGATTCCCGTGACGAAGCCCGTTTACGCCGATGAGCAGCACGCTTTCGGTGTCGACGGTTTGATAGATCCTTGGCTGGTAGAATTCTGGCAATCCTCAGAGTCACTTCGAGGGCCTGGCTTCCCGCTACCAGAATCGAAACCGCCACCGAAGTGAGTTATCGGCGATGTTGTAGACTGTTGAGCTTCCCTATTATCACAATGGAATTTCAAGTCGACTACGAGCACCAGATGCAGAGTCTCGCCGAAATTTTTCTGATGGCCCGATTTCTCCATTAATCTGCAGGTTCTCAGTAATTAAGACGCTTGCAGCGCCCGTACCTCTCCCCATTCCTGCCCTCTATAAGGAATGCCGGGTGATCACCAATGGAAGAGTGACCGCTGAGGAGCACTTCCAGGACGTGAGATTTCTCACCGTAGAGTGCGATTCCAAGTTCTCTCCTGGCGACGCGGCTGTTATCCTGCCGAAAAACACAAAGGAGAACATCGATGAATTTTTGAGACTGTTCGCGCACATCGAGCCGGATGCGGCGGTTGAACTGCGGCGCGGTAAGTGTCTGACACAAAACAACGCTGCTGTACTTTCCCTAGCCCAGGACTGCATCTTCGGCCCCTCTGGATCGCAATCGATCGCGAAGCTTCTTTCCAGGAAGCGCCGCTCTACCTCAACACTTGACCGTACCGACGACGTTCAGAGAGTTGGCTGAGAAACATTTCGATCTCAACTCAGTGCCGAAACGTTCGTTTTTCGACTGTTTCAAATATTTCTGCAAGAGGGAAGGGGACGGCTCGAACGGTGACGAGGCTCTATATTGGGAGAAATTGGACGAGTTCAGTCGAGCGGAGGGTCAACCAGACCTCGTGGATTACACCATCAGACCTAAGCGGACGGTTCTGGAAGTTTTTCAAGACTTCCCTTCCATCTCGGAGAGGCTTTGCCTAGAAGACTTGCTGACTCTGATCCCAGCGATCCGACCGCGGTGATTATTCAGGAAGAAATCTTCCCCTCCGAAGCTTTGATATATTCCTTCATGTGAGGATGATTCTCCCTCGCCTTCAATCACGATATTCGCCCCCAGGTACTACAGCATAGCTAACAGTGCTCGAAAGCATCCTGGTGAAGTGCATATGCTTTATGCAGTCGTGAATTTCAAAACAGCGATCAGAAAGCCTCGCAGCGGTCTCTGCACTTCGTATCTGAAAGCGCTCCAACCCGGGGAAAGAATTCTCATGCACATCAGGGAAGGTGAGAATATTGCTCCAGCCCCCGCATATCGGAGTCCGGTAATGGATCAGGGCGGGGTAGTCCCTGAGCACTGGTCTCACCCTCGTAATTTCTTCCAGGCTCATTGAGTCTCCCCATCGATCCAAAGAGTCATCTAGTCATGGTAGGCCCTGGAACGGCTGTGGCTCCATTCCGAGCTTTCATCCAAGAACAGGTCGCTCGGCAAGGATCTCCAATGACCCTGTTCTTTGGATGTCGCAACTCTGACAGTAAGCATCGTTGTTCCGGAGGATCCGACGAGATGAACCTCGATATCATGTTTTCCGTAGAACGTGACGACTCCATTGGATCTCTTCGAATTTTCAGAAGATTATTTCTTCGCTGACGAATGGCGAGAGCTCGAAGCGAGTGGTCATCTCGAAGTAGTCACAGCATTCAGTCGCGACCAGGCCCATAAAATTTACGTGCAGCAGCGGATCTCAGAGCGCTCGGTGAGTTTTTCGTATCATAAACGAATTTCCAAACACCAGTGAGACCTGAGTGAGAGATCGGAGAGATCTGAGGATCGGAGCAGATTCGAGTCTCAAACCGAGCATGCATTCGCAGGATTTCCTTCAGAGCCTATCGGAGTCCGGGGAACCCTGCGCCATTTACATCTGCGGGAATGCTGCGAAGATGGTTGGAGATGTTCTAGAGACTTTTGAACGTATCTTGGGTAAAGAGACGGTAGAAAAAATGCAGAAAAGCAAATCAATCCAGATCGAAGCTTGGGCATGAGTTGTCCATGCCACGGAGGAAGACCGATCGATATCGCCTTCTGAGGAGACTTGAGATAGCTGGCCAAATATCTCGTCCCGATTGTCTTTAGCGGTTCCAAGGAATTTTCGGGCGGATTGTCTTCAATACCTGCGAATACCGAGCTGTCGATTTCGATGAGCCAATAAAAACACGATAAATTATAATCCATCATTGATCAATCAAGGGAGCTCGCTGCTCACGGGTGATCTCGATGCACTTCTGAGAGGATGTATACATAGATCGATGGAGCGATCCGAGATTCCGGAAGGCATTGTGTCGAGAAATACCGCGCCGTGACGCTTCGGCATGTTGGCCATCATATCCTGTAAGCAACCGGTGTGACCCGCCAATCTCGGAAGAAGGGGGGAAAAACTCGTCCTCAGACTCCCCTCCTCCAGCCAGTACCGTCGAGAAGAGCTACCAATGTCCACTCTGAGACCAATCCTTGCGGCGACGAAGAGGTCGGCGGCCGGCTGCTTGTACGAGAATACCGAATTCGGAACTTTTCCTGACTCGCCCTGTTCGCAGAATTTATTTTATCTTATGAATCGGTTTTGAGAACCAGCTCCTATACAATGACCGAAAAACTCACACTGGATCCTCAGCCAATCTCAACGTTGGCCGAAACAGTCGCCACATCAAGTAGCTGCGACAAGGGTGGCAGAGGTGCAACTTGTCGATAACAGTTGAGACTGCAGACCGGGAAACCGTTCGAGCTGCACTGATACTTTTTCACTTGTGTGCAGCCAGGATTACTGCACAGTACCTCAGACGGATACTGGACTATCCTCGGGGTCAAGTCGAGACCCAGCGACTCGGGAGGTGTCTCGACTGGGAAACTCACCGTAACACCCTCAGAGGTGAAGCGGTAGGAAACCTTAGGTATCAATTGCGCTTTCTGCTTCTGTAGTTTCTTAAGCTTCTGCCGGGAGTCGGCTTTCTTGAGAAGCCGTTTTATCGTATCCTTCTTCTCTTTGTCTCTCTTCTCCTCTGCCAATTGTTTCCTCTTCGCCGCTTTCAAAGCTTTCTTCTCCAGAATTTCATCGCTCAGAACTTCCGTCGCGAGCTGGTCTCGCAAGGCTTCCTGCATTTCATGGAACTTCTGTAATTGTTCAACTTTGGCTTGTTTAGCTTCAATGACGGCTCGCTGCCGAGCGGTCATCAACTTCGGATCCTTCATGGATTTCAATTCGGAATCGATTTCCTCGAGTTTCCCGTTCTCCAACGCTTGCAGCCATTTCTCTTCGGCTTCCTCGTCGCTGTTCTCTTCCGTCTTTGGTTTTTTCAGTTTCTTGTCGAAACTCATCATGTTCGAACCGAGGTAAGGGGGAAAAGCCGTCGTCGACGTTGTGTTGGATGTATCGTCAACCACGAGAGGACCTGGAAGTGCAGGAATCGAGTTCGAGATGAGAGTTGAAACTTGCCATCAGTCGGATAGGAAGGGGGCTGATGTGGGGAACAGTACAGGGACAGGAAAATTATTCCTCGAGAATAAGGCTTCTAACATTGCGAGAAGTTTCACCTGAATCTGTGAACTGTGTGACGTCCAGGTCATTCTCCTCTTCATACATCATGCTCTCGGACAGACTTTTGAGGGGCGAGGTTTGGCCGCTAGAGGCTGCGTCGACATCCGAGAAGCTCTGAGAACTGTCTTTCTGCGTCCGAAGTGGAGTGGATCTAGATTTCTTCTGCGAGCTCGAGCTTTTCCGTTTGCGATTGGATGCTGAACTCGATGGAGTTCTCGATTTCGGCGGTTTCACTGGCGTGCTCACTGGAGGGGAAGAGGCTTTCGGCTCCTTGGGCTCGCTAGGTCGTTGACGCTTCTTCTGACTGACTTCAGCTTCCAGAGCTATCATTTTCGCGGACAATTTCGGTGTCCGCGAAGAGCGCTTGACCGGAGACAATTTCTCGGACATCTTCCCACGTTGTATGTACAAATCTTGGGGAATGAAGGAATTAAATCCTCTTCTATCCGGACTACCCGGGCGCAGGTCCTACCCGACGCTGAACTTCATCCGGAAGGTTGGGCGCTTCCTGCTCCGATAATTCACGGGGAGAAGCGACTGACGATCTCACATGAGCTCCATCCCTCGGCTTTCCCTGGGCAGGAGTCGCGATTCGCTCGACCGCGAGGTCGAATTATCATTCGAGAATTCTTCTCAGTCTCCACAATTACTCGTCCCGGAAAACGACGACAACGCGAGCAGAGATCTTTTGTAAACAAACTGAGAAGCGTCGTCTGCTCCGGCGCGCTCTAAAAGAGAGTCTGACAAGGGCGATCTCGCATGGATCCGGAACGACTGCAAATGGGAGCTCGGGCGCTCTGAGACTTTAAGGAGATCGGGGAGCCCCTTCCTCGAGGACTCACGAGCGACCGGTCTGAACCGTTCATGGGGGAACGGAGAAGGGGGGGCGGACGCATCTGTACTCTCGACTCTCGATGGACACCACGAAGACTTTCGCAGAACTTGCAGAAAACAGAGCGCACCGTCGCTGCTCCGAGTCGGGATGGGCGGGAGCGGTGTGAAACATTCCATGAAAAACGGCGCCTATTGACTGCGGTTATCCGCTGTCCCCCATGAAGTCCCATAATGAAGAAAAAACGCGATTGCGCTTAATTATCGCGGTTGCAAAGCCTGGTCAGAAGCTGGAAGTCCCATAAGTTTTCCGAGGGTCGATGAGTGATTGGCTTCCTTCGTCGGCCATAGGATCTCTTGGAATTCTTACTTTCGGATCAAGGCAGTAGCAGGCAAGCTCTCGAACGCGGGGAGTTCGAATGTCGTTCGGGTGATTTGATCTTTACGTGGGACAGGGATCAGACATCATAATCCATCAGTCCTGAATCGAGAGATGAGATATTACACGATCAGATTGGTTGATTTCTTTTTGATCAATTAATATAGTCGAAGCATACGCGGCATTACACTCAACTAAATGGAGTCGTTCCAGAACACGTCGAGCTTTGCTGTACGGCACCTGGCGATTATTCTCCGGTGACTTGCATCTCCGCCCACAAGAATCGCCGTTTTTTTCTTCTCAAAATATCTGTTGAGATTCTAGGGAAGAAAAAGAGACTGGCAGCGCACTATGACGCGGACTTTGAAAAGGCTGACCGCGGGAGTCGCTACTACGGCGTGGTATCCTACGTCCCTCGTGAAGTAACACTCTTTCTACATACGTACAACCCCTAAAAAGATTTACAGAAACTCATAACGCCAGTGTAAATACGTAGGGAGAAGAAGAGAAATTCACGATCGAAAGGGAAATCGAACTACGACGTGGTTCGGGATCGATGTGCACAGCGTAAGGGAGGTGGTTTGGATCTCGAGTGCTCCCCCCACTGGGGATGTGAAAATTGAAGATGAAAAGGGCGATCACGGTCAATCCTTCCACCTCAGACCTGCGGGAGGAATGATCGCGAAGAGCTTCCGAGAACATTAGCGCATTTATTGAGGTTTTCGTGTCCATGAGCGTATTACTCTTCCTCTTGTTGGTATCGCTCAGCGTAGTGAACGCATTCGAAGATGACTTCGATCACAATCAGAATGATAATCATCAGCTCCAGCCTGCGGAAGGAAAAGAGGAGCTCTACCACTTGTAACCTCTGAGGGAGACTAGATCGAATAATCGGGAGAAATCTGAGGAGCCTCATGATTTATCGTCCGTCCGCCCAAAATGAGTTAGGAATCCCACCTGACGTGGTGCTTGTCTTCGAGATGATGACTTATCAGTTCCATCAATTCTTGACAATGATTGATTTTCTCGTTCATTACTCTGGTGCGCCGCTCGATGGAATATAATCGTATGGCCTTAGTGAACAGCGACTCGAGATCGGCACGGTCCCAGTAGAAATCTGGGGTATCCAAGAAGTCAGACGACAGATTGAGACTGTGTCTCAGGGCGAAGAGCTCGCCAGTTTTCCGGAAAACATGGTCGCGAGTCGCTGCGAGTTTCCTTCCGTGCCGAATGTCCTGAATGGTGGGCGATCGCCTCATGAGACCCGGGAAAGAGCGATGCATCTGACACATATGAGACAGAGAGAGAACAGTTGCATACCTCGAGCATGCATTCTATGCTGTCGACATATTTCTCTAGTACAGCTTCCCATATCGCCAATTTGACGGACAAGGCGATCCCGTTGGAGAAAGCGTACATCTCCAGAACATCTGCTTGTTTCTCCACCTTGGCGTCGGGCTCCTCGGGCTCGTTTGCGCTCAATAGCACCTTGCCGTTTGTAACTCTGGTTTTGGCACTGGAAAATCGGAGTCACCGCAAGAATGAATGGATGAATGGATGAAGAGCATTTGAACTCCTATCTTCCGGCTTCTATCACGGAACCCGCGGCGGTCACCACACGCGAAGCTCTGGTCTCACTTGTGGAATTGGAACTCCATAACTTCCAGCTCTTCCTCCACCATGTCCTCGTCATATGGTCCCGTCTCGCAACCCTTCAGGAGTTTGAGCACGGTACGCGCCTCGATTTCAGTGAAATTCCAGAACACGACCGTACCTGCAATGCATAAAAATTTGAAAACCTGCCTTGACTCCTCTCTCAAAGGATCGGTATACGCTCTGAGAGAGTATCTACGTCCAACGATGAGCCTAAGCATTCTCCCGACGCTGAGAAGGAGCGATCGGAGGCCTCGAGAATAGTGTCGAGATTATGACCTTCCTTGAAGAAAAATATGTCCCTGTGTTGAGCATCAACGACGTATCGGGCTTTCGCGTGCAGAGCCTCTGTCTCTTCTGGTAGTTCCCGAACATCGTACAACCCCTTCGGACGGATAGAAGCCGTGGTTAATTCCTAACTCGTGGGCATACTTCTCTTTGCCACATGGACACAGAGTGGTCTCTCGAGCACACTCGGGCTCCATTTTCAGGCGTCGCATCTCTGAGAAAAGCTCCATGATTACCTGGTCGGCGAGCCTGTTGCGGATCACATCGAGTTGATACTCTTCGCATGTCGAGTACGCGAAGATATTCGGGCTCGCCTGGAAGGAATCATTCGTCACGGACAGGGTCCAAGAATCAACTAGATCCACACAGGAGACCTGGTTCATTATTTGAACCAATGATATTTGATAAGAGCTCAACGGTGTAAACTCACTCCTCGAGCTTTCTTTTTAATCGCTCGTTTCTTCTGAACACTCATCTTGGGCGATGGCAGCTTCGGGATCGGGGACGGTGCTTCTCTTATCGACTTCAGGACTTCGTTTGAGAAACATTGAACTCGATTTAGCCCAGAGGAATAGCATAACGAGGGAAGAAGCGTAAGACAAAGCAATAATCAATCGACTCACCGGTGGGCTGAATCGGACTCTTGAGACCGCTCATCGCTGCGCTTGTCCTCAGGCACATCCTTGTCACTTTCCCTATCTGCGGGGTCAATCGAACCACGAACTGTCGCAACATCTGAGGGATGAGAAGGAGCTGTAGAGTATTCGTGCTCTAAGGCATGGGAACTACAGCGCGAGTCTTTCTCTGACGAACATGCCCTCATGGGGCAAGGGGTAAGCAACACGAGGAGAGTCGAGATTTCGCTCCTGTCCTGAGGCTCGCAATAGCAGTTAGTCATCCTCGGAACATTGCAGAACTTTCACCCGCGCGTGATCGGGTAGGACAGAGAGCGAACGGGTCAGCCGGCGCCGAGCACAGGGAGCTTGCCCGCTGCAGGGAGTCCGGATTTCCGACCCCTGAAGACTGTCTTCGGGTAGGAATACTCACGTTTGGGAACCAGACAGGATTCCCGAGGAAATCTCCTTTCGAACTCCCAGACTATAACAGACGTCAACAACACCGGGGTGGAAAGCGCTACCGGCGATATCGGGAAATCAGAGATCTCCAACTAGGCAGGCGATGGACTGATGGCTTCCATAGGTAAAGAGAGTATTCCTCATATGAGGAGCGAAACCATGGCCGCAATCAAAAGGGAGCAGGACCCAGGATGATCGGGACAGAACAATCTCTTCGCGCGCGGTCCGCGTGGTCCGCGCACACTCGCTCGAAGAGAGGCACTGGGTCGTGCGCTTCAAATTCCCCCGCCTCTTCGAGTCGCATATGTATTATTCGTGGCAGTCTGTCTCGGAGCGACAGCGGACGTTCTTCTCTCGTGGACGTCTCCGCTAGAGGCTGGATTCGAGCCCTGACTATGAAGACCGGAAAGCGGATCGAACCCCAGATCGAATGGCGGCGAATTCGGGTAGGACTATTTAAAGGGAGTTGTTTGCAAACATTGAGAGAGAGAGCGCGTCGTCGTATTGTTGATGAAGCTGCCTTCGACGACGTCCGGCTGCTGTTGACTGCCTGCTGTTTTACATTGCTCCGGTGGTTCCGGAAAGTTCAGTTTTTGTTGTTATCGATCGAGATGTTCCTGAGTTGAATCCTGTCCTGACAGCGTTCTGAACAAGAGAATCTTTTGTATAGCAGGTTTACACACACCTTGAACCATGGCTGCAGAGCCGAGCGGCCAGGATGTGAGCCAGAGGATTCGAGTAGGTTGATCGAGTAGACCTTGCGGAGTTATCCTAGGGTGCACTTGACTCTCTCATCGTGCAGTAAAATCGAATCCTGAAGGAGACTCCAATGCAATAGGCTGTAATACGCCAAGAAGCATCGTTGGTCGGCTACAGCCGACTGCATCGGCTTTCCGCACTTCCGTGTTGTTCGGACGGAGCAAATATTCCGACAGGGAGCTAAGCCCTCCTGTGATTTCTCAACGGCACGATAGTCTGTAATTCCGCCGTGTCCCAGGCTGTTGAGCTACGGGGAGCCATAGTGGCGAGCTCTTCGATGTCTCAGAGGTCTACCGGACGGTCGGGGTGGCTCGCGAGCATCTCGAGATCGGAATAACTTCGATCTGTAGCTCTTGAGAGATGTGACCCCAAACTTCGGACAGTAGTTTTGACTCGAGGACGGGGAACGTCCATGGGAGGTTCTCCTCTAAGGTCGAGCGAGTGCTCGCCTCTCTCGAACATCTTGCCCACTTCTCGAATGGACAAGAGTTCTCCCTCTAGTTGGCTGTACGGAAGAGGAGCCGCTAGGGCAGATAGCACCCCTGGCTTTCGTTTTCTGCGATAAGTTCGCTGGACAGCTCCTTCACTGGAAGACATCGGTAGTTTAGGGATATCTTTTGATCCCTGTCTAGTTCAAGAAATAACGCCATCTTCCTTTTACAGAATGCGATCAGGTCAAAGCTAGTCGATATTGGATGTTATGTCGGTGAGTTTGTTGCTTTGCCTCGTGAGTCGTGAGCTGTCGTGGATCCCCACAAAACGAATGCGGCAGCTTCGCATGTTGCTTCAACGATAATTATCACTTGAGACCGGCCTGCTCTGCGGACGGGACGAATACTTCCCTGGGGTTCGAACCACAGGGCATCCAGGTTTGGCACTGTTGAGCTAAGCTAGAATTTCGAACGTTCACAGACGATGAGCTCCCCGATTACGTTATGGTGATGATCGCAAACAAGAAAACCAAAGATCAGATGAAAGCGGATCTCGAACTCTTCCTCGGAGAATACTGCACTTCGTTTTGTGACTGGCTTCATCAAGTTCTCGACCATCTCCAGCGGTAAGACTCCCGGAAGGAAACCTGATTCATTTTTTCTCTTCCTTGTCTCTACCTAATTGACGCCTGTTTCAATGCTCCAACCGACTCTTCCGCAGTTATGCCCGTGAGGGGAAGAGGCGTTTGGAGTTATTCGATGAGCGGAGCAAAAACAGGACGTCCGTCGGCGACTCGGAAGATGAGGTTGACCTACATCCTAATGCTGAGGAAGCGCGGGATTTCCCAGATTTCGAATCGAAGGTGCGTTCCAAACTTCATCTCGCGGTCAGTTCCGATAGCACTACCAATATTTCGACGTAGGGCTACATATTATGCTGATGGGAGGGGAGGATCACTGATCTGACGAAATATTGCAGGATAACAGCGATTCGAAGAAGAAGATCGATTCCAAGAAATCGAGAAGTCCATTGCGGAAGATCGAGGAGAAAACGAAAAAACGTCTCAGAGACCGAGTCGAAGAAGTCGCCAAGGAGGTGCGTGACCTATCGCTTTCTGAATGATCATTCTCTACAAGGCTTCTGCAGCATCAGTGCATGGAGAAACGACATTGCAGGTGAAGAGAAAAGACGAGAGCAGGGGAGCGGCTCACAAAAACGAGTCCTCGCGGCAGAAGATCGAAATGGCCGACGATCGCTCCCGGAAAGGAACTTCCGTGGATGAAAAGAGCCCGCCCAAGACCGAGAGGAAAAAACGAGCTTCCCCCGAGTCGTCGCGTGGAACGAAAACTCGGGGAAAAGATCGGAAAGAGGATCGATCGGAGAAGAAAGGAGAGAAAAACCATAGCGATAAGAAGAAGCATGCCGCCGAGGAGAAGGTCAGTGTAACCTCTAACGGATCAGGATCTCGCGGGGGATCTAGGACGCTCCACAGAATTCCGAAAAGCTCACATGGTTTTTCGATTCAGGAGACGAACCGAGAGCGACAGAAGAACAGCGAACGACAACACACGGATAGCGATTCTAGAACTCGCTCATCGACGAGTGCGCTGCGCTCCAGCATCAAGTCCGCGGTGTCGGCGAAGACTCAAGATAGTGAAAGTGATGAGTATGAGGAGTACGATCCATCGAAACCCCAGTTGCGCAGCATTGCGAAAATAGCCCCCAGGAAGAAACTCATGGCGAGGGATTCCCTTGAGAAGAACAAGCTATTGGCGAAAGCTATCCTCGATGCGAACAATAGCATTCAGCAAGGGCTCCCAGCTAAGAAGGTGCGTGGAAGAATCTCCATTTTAGCACGACAGGCTGTGAGGGGAATACGAGAACTTCAACGCCGCGAGAGATATCCTGGTTCATGATAGATTATGATATGATAAATACATTACGATGACGGCTTCCTTGTAGATCTTGAGGACTGAGCCACCTTCATCTGCGAATTCACAACCGAAACGCAGCATCCGCGACAGATTAGGAGCTTACGTTACTGACGCAATCGCCTCAAGGTATTGTTTGCGTCCGATTGCGAATTTCTCCATAAGATGGCGGACCTTGAATCCGGTGATTAATCGACTTGATCATCGAGGGTTAGGAATCGAGCTCGCCCATTTTCTTTCCTTCCTCGTTTCGGACATCGCATGAATTTCTTTCCAGAGTTGCAATGGCTCAGCGCTTCCATGAAATGCCCCCGAGTCTCGGCGACGAAGATGAGGATGAAGAAAACACGTGAGTCGATCGATACCTCAGTGGTCCGAATTTCGAGCGATGTATGCGCTCAGTTCTTCATGGAGAAACCCAGAGGGTTAAGAGCATACCGAATTCTTTGTTTCTCATTGCAGATTGTCGAACGACCGCCATGCGAAGCCCCCTACAGGGCATGTCGAGGACCTGAGACTTTCGTTACGGAAAAAAGAGAAGAGGAATTTTGAAGAGAAGCATGCCACCTCAGAAAACAAGGATTTTGTCCAGGAGGCGACAGAGCATAGAAAGCATACAGGCCTACCGGAACCTGAAAGAGTCCCTGCGAAATCCGCGAAAGGTTAGAGCTCCTCCCTGGCTCGTTTACCATGTCGGCGTTTCACGGCATACTCGGAGGGAGGGAGAGGAGGGCTCCGGATTCGATCCCGCGGTCAGCTTCGCCCCCGATCGTGACCGACTCCCGAATTCCGGAATGCTGCTGTTTGCTCCGACCACCTCGAAAAGCTCGAGATCACAAAATGACACTGTTCAGTATTCCCCCAATATTCTCCACAGAGCCATCGAGATCGACGAATCCAGATCAGACTGCACCTGCGAAAATTTGTGAGGGTAATGTTCCGAAACAGAGCATCCCGGCAGTCAAGGTGGAGGAAACACCGAAGAACGTGATTGTCAGAAACGGTAGGGCTGCCGCTGCCTCGAGCATCCGAGTTTATCCAAAGTCAGAATCATTTGCTCTCGTTTGTGCGTGCGTCCCGCTCTCAACGCAGAGTCTTGAGGAACGAATTCTCTAAATCGGGGCTTCTCCACCAGGGATGATCGTCAAACCAAGTCCCCTACTAGAAGCTTGTGGACTAAGCGAGATCAAGAAACGGAAGATTGAGGCTCCGAGTCCCTCGTCGGATGATGATTCGAAGCTATCGGAGAGTCCACAGAAGAGAGTAAAATCCGCGAAGGCGGATCACATACCTCTGAAATGTAAGATCGACCTTTGACAGGCCTTACTCGGGCCATGAACCTGATGCGCGGGAGGGGCCCACAAAGAACGCCCTCCAGTCAGTTCTAGTCCGAGAAATAATTTTCTGACCGGCTTGCAGCTCTTGACGATCTCATAAAACCGGGTCAGGCCGATTTGGCGATAAGACCTCCACGACGACGGTGCCATTTCGACCCGAGCTGCACCAACGTATCGTGCCCCTTCGCACATCCAGGGCAGCCGTGTACCAGTTTCCCTCATTGTGGTCTGAAAGCCTCAGTCTGCAACTTCAGACACCCACCGTGCTATTACGATAAATCGTGCTCGAGCAGAACTTGTCAATTCAACCACAAACACGATGGTGAGTGAATGATCCCAACGACTGGCGGGATCCATGAATCTCGGAAATTCGAAACCCCTTTATATAGGGTTCTATAGCTCTTTTTAGTGTTGCAATCATAGAAACTCCATCATCCAAGAGAAGAATTGCGACTTACTCATTTCCCTGATTTCGATATGAAGGCATGCCGACCCCCGAAGACGCGAAACCGGCTCCGTGTAAATACTTCCCGAACTGCACCAACGCAGCCTGCCCATTCTATCACCCCCCGATTGTGAGTTCCCAGACTCGCTCGCGTTTGATTCGAAATATACCCTGGACTTCCACGAGCAGGAACAGGAGAAAGTGGTGCGGTATGAGCTTGTTTCCGGCGCTAACCTGAGCGTCTTGTTTGCAGCCGTGTAAATTTGGTCTCCGCTGCCAGGCATTAACTTGCCCATTCGTCCATCCGCAAAAATCAACGGTTGCTAAATTGAAATGGGTCGCCCACTGAGGACTGCACTAGCGCGTGAGGAATAAGTCGGAGTAAGCGAAGCTCGATCCTACCTATAGAGTTCCCAGAGCATCTCCCGTATTCCTAATCGGGGAGCACCAATCAGTGAGCTTTACACGTTTGAGAAATAAATGCGTGCTCCATGTTCTACTGGCTAGATGTGGGGCTCCGACTTTCACTACATGAGGAACTTTTCAATCGTACCGATGATCGCTGCCTCTATGAACGAGCGAAAGCTCCGAATAAATTCACCCCTGGGAATGCCTGTCGAAATCGGGGGAATACAGAATCTCTCTCGGGCCCGGACTCCGGAAATTCACTTCGAGACAGTCTAATGACCGAAATTATTATTCATCTCGCGAGAACTTTGAAAAACATAGATTTATTTAGTTTAGAAATTCCACAGCAGCCTCTAATGCCGTTTCCCCTAGTGAAAGCTCGTCACGGGTTGTACCAGTCCAGGAATAACAAAGAGAGACTCAGCACGATCAGAACAAACAAAATCGAAACCCGCATTCCGGCGCTGTTTTGCATTGCCTGCCGAATTTGTTCATTTCCGTCTTTGACGCTCTCCGTCGCATGGATCGTATTGAGAGCTATTCGCTGCACCTCCTCGTCCTGTTCGATGACCTTATTCACGAACTGCTTTTGGAGTTCCGAGATTTCTTCGACTCTACCGCCTATCAATTTCACCTGCTCCGCCATCGAGTTCAACTCATCGTAGAGTCGGGTATTCTCTTCCTCTAATGCCTGGGAAAAATTCTCTGAGTGAATATCGATCGATCAGCGGGATATCGAATAAGCGAATCGTTCTTTCGAAGAACGTTGGAGTCCAACTCACCAAAACATCGGCCTGAGTGATCTCTACCGATTTGAACTCTTCGGGGTGCGAATCTTCGTGGAAAGGGAGACTTCTTTTCGACATCGCATTCTCCAAAATACACCTTTTACCTGAAGCTTTCTCGAAAGATTCATCTTCATCGAGCGCGGTGCTCTCGGTGGATTCGATGACCCCGCCGGGAGTTTCCCTCACTGTTTGACCACCGGTCAGAGAACCGAAAGCCCTCATTCTTTCGGCTTGACGCATTCGCAAGGCTCTCTGGCTCGACCATATTCTTCCGACTAGTCGGAGATATTCCTCAATCATCAGAATCACTGCCGTGAGGTGAGCTTTCTGTTGCGGACTCGAGGCACAAATGTTTATTTCTTTCCGAAGGTTGCCGATGACTTGCTTGCACTTGGCAATGAATTTGTGGGCTTCGGAATCAATTTCCTCGCGCTCTAAATCACTCATTTTCGAACCGTTGAATATCAAAAAATTCCGGTCTATGTAGTCTTCCCGATGCTCTAGGAAAAATTCCTTCATCTGAGAGATACTGTTTACTACATCTTTCGCTTTAGAATTGAAGCGGCTCTTCTCTTTCTGAGTTCGGGGGCTCCGGGGCTCATCGACGTCTCCCAGCGCTTTGCTGCGAGATCGCAGCGTTTTGACGAGTGAGGTGAAATTCGAAGTGAGATCCATTCCCGCGGTCCGGACTTACGGGCAACGAGTGCTTCAATCTCAGCTGGGCAACGTGCTGTCCATTGATGTGTTGTCAGGGCTCCGCATTACACGCTCCCTTAAAACCGAGCTGGTGTCTGTCGCCTTGTCAGCAGTCAGCACTCAACACCACAGCTGATCGCTTTCATATTGTGCTCCTGTCCCGGCCTGATCATCATGATCATCAAGAGCGTAGACGAAAAAGGGGAGAGGCACAATTTGAGGAAGGGTCAGAGAGGGAAACGGGAACCCGCGCATTTTCGAGCTTCCGAACTTCTGAGTTGCGCTGTGCCTCTAATCGACGCGCGTCGGTCAATCATCTAACGGGTTTTACACTAGCTCGAGCCTACCATGGCAGAGATCTGCGCCGGAAGCCCGATATCTACGAAGGAAGTATCATAGCCTTTGCTGAGCATCTCAGTACCGGGTACTAAAGTAGTCGATATCGAAGAGCATTCGCATGCATAGAGAAGCGAGTATTGAAGCAAGGTGAACGGGTTCTATAAGACGAGTGCTCGTGGATTTATGGATCTCGCAGCAGCTAATCACATTCTCCGCAACGCCGGTAGCGCGGATTTCCCGGCTCGGAATGGACTGATCTTGGGAATGGAATCGAAAATAGTTGTGTTCTCGCTGGCAGTGATTAATTTCAGCATTTTCCGCGAAGTGTCAGGTAGCTAGAGGGTTCACGGATGCGGAAGTGAAAGGGTCATGGGGTGACGAGATGTTCCATGAGAAGGATGAGGATCCAACTCATCTCCGAGAGATGTCTGGGGATGGATGTCTGGCCCCATGTCCCGGATGGTTTCCCTCACTCAAAAGAGCGAGCTTCCATATTATACACTGAATGACGGTCAATGGCTAAAGCTCCCGAACAAATACATACCTAAATTGACATTCGTCCGATAGATATTGCCGATTGCAGGAGCTGTGTTGGTCGTATAATTCTATTTTAGACATGAACGAGGGTACGCTAAAAGTCACGGGGTAGAAAACTCTCCTTAATCTTTATTTACACTGACAGGACCCCCACATAATTCTGAGAGACATCTCGGGTCCCCTGTCGTTGCGATCACTTCTTAGGTTCTTCGTCGAGAATGGAGGGAATTCCATGGAAAGTCTCGAATAGTGATTCACTCCAGGGGCTCAGATGGGGCCGATTTGACATCCGTCAGGAGCTGTTCGCTTCCCGTACCTAAATTTAACCCCAAAACTCGATTCGAACCCCCGACGGAGATTCGAGCCCAGTTAGGCTCAAGGGCCTACGATCGGCGCAGATCGCGGAAAGATACATTCGTTCAGTGAAATGAGTGGAATTCTCAGCGGCGCCTTCCAGGCTGTTGCACCGCTTCCAGCCTGGCTGTGTTGATCATGGCTCGATGAATCTCTCACTTGACGCACAAGAAACCTCTAACTCGTGATATGAAGGCGTCGAAAGCATTTCGGAATTTCAGTCGATTGCCCCGGTCAGGTATCATTTGCACTGTCTCCGTCAGCTGGGAGAAGGCCTCCGCCAACCGCTGCTTCAGATTATCGTCGCTCTGAGCGCTCACCATCGACTCGACTAGCTCCTTGTAAAGATTCTGGAATTGGGGAATTCTCGTGAGTGAAAAATATGATGACAGCCTCGTCTCGTGATCTATGCCAGTGATATCTCTCATAAGCAAAACGTTCCCCGAGCTCGAAACGGGTACTCACTGGATAACAACACATCAGAGGGAACAGCGCACTACCAGCCATCGTTGTGATCTCAGGATCGAGGGGTTGGAATAAAGACATTTCGAGGATGAGTTTGAGGAAGGGCTGGACCAGTTGATGCACAATTGCCGGTACCTGTCCGCGGGACTGACAGATGTTGGTCGCGAAACCGGCAACGAAATCAAGGCTGGCGTTCGCCACGTCGGGAGTGAAGTCCGTCACTCCAAGGCGGATTGTGCCGAATATGCTGACGAGCAGCGAGGCCGGGAGCTGAGGGAGGCAAACGGAGCATGAGAACGGACTGGGAGCCGATGATAGGCCCTGACTCGATCCCGGGAATCGCGGGTGATGCAGGAGAGGAGAATATTCGTTTCCGCGGCCGAGGTTGGTCTGATAGTGCCTCCTCAGAGTCTGCTTACCTCACACATCTTGGCTCTATACATCTCGCCGACGACATTGACGAAGTTGAAGTACTTTGAACACAAAGAGGGGAATCTCAGCAGCTCAGTTGTCATGATGGGCAGTAGAAAATTCAGGCCTTGGAAGGCGAGATCACAAACCGAAACCTGATTCGGTAGATTATCTTCGGCTTCCCGTGCGACGTCGGGAAGGAATCCCATCACTTCTTTGAGAAGCACATCGCCGAGGAGCGTCAACAGGTCGAGCAGGTCTTTGTACTGCGCCTCCTCGGCCGACGGATCGATTGTGAGCTTTCCGGTTTGGTGCGTCGCGTAGCTCTTCATTATATCGAGAATGCAGCTATATACAATGGAACAATCGTTTTTCCGCAGGTAGCTGACCATGTTGCAGGCCACCGACAGGAAAACCTGAATACACGCCGAGACCATGTCCGAATAATTGTGGTACAGCTCGAGGAGCGCCCCGACTTCCGGCAGCAGGGGCAATACGAAACGAATCAACAGTTCCGAGTTCGACGCGGTAACACCGTCGACTACTCCCGTCAAGCGTTCGATGAGGTCCAAGACGTTCCTTCGCACGGATTCCTGGGCGTAGTCTCGACGGAAAGCTGCGTTCGTTTTTAACTGAGTGAACGCTTCCTGTAATGGCTGCAGGAGCTGCTCGAAATATTGAGCTTTGTCTTCCTTCAGCATCGAGCCGGCTAACACTAGACCCTTGACCAGGTCTCGTTTGGCCGCGGTCGACAAATTTTGGAATGTGCCACAGCATTCGAGTCGGACGAGTTCGAAAATCGAAGGGCATTTAATGGCCCGAGAGCCCCGTTCCATCGAATTGAGCAATATCATAAGGCACTGGCACGTATCCGACAGAAGTGCGGCTTCGCTCGACCAGCTAACTAGATTTGTTTTCAGTTTGTTGAGGACGAACTCCAACACCCAATGGCCGGCTTCCGAGTCCCGGCCGAAGCACGCGATGAGGACCTTGCTGAGCTCCGTGTACTGATTCTCGTCGGGTAGGAGGTACACGGGAGTCCAGAGTTTCAGGAACCAAACTAGGCTGCGGCCAACCTGTAAAATCAATGATGTCGCATGGTCGATCATTCCGCACCCGACTTTTCACCATTCTTACGCTCCCGCACTAGGACACGATCACGAACCTCGGGACTACATTGAAGGCGCGCCTCGAGCGCCCGACTTTCCATCAGGCACAATCGCAAAATTGCAAGGACCAGACGAACAACCGGATCGACGGAGGCGTCGGTCACCAGCTGGGACGGTTGAGACAGCGCTCTGGAACGAGAAATATGTAGCTTTCTCTACGAGATCGTTTCCTCCCGTCGGCAATCCGCTCCGCTCGGACAGCTCCCCTCCGAGATGTGGAGCTGCCGTCCCGAATACAGGCGTTTGGAAAAGCGTGTGTTGCGGACAGCTACTTACAACAGGGTGTTGTCAACATTGACTTTCTCCTCTTGGGATCGGCAATATGTTGTGATAGAGGATGGTATGAGGTTCGTTTCGCCCTTGATCAGACCCGTAGAGAGGAGGTGGCCGGCAATCATAATTAGCCAGTGTAAGTCCTCGGACACTTGGTTGAATTGATAAGTCCCAACCAAGTTCTGTTCCAAAAGTCCTTGGAGAGCTACTGTGCGGGCTTCGAGAAGCTGAGTCACCATCGGAACGGTTAAGCTCAACGCTCGTCGACCCATAAGTCCTGGAATGAGTTTGGCCGGCGTGAGCGATGAGGGCGGACGATCCCGAGATGCGATGGGATCGATCTGACGCCTCCGCTCGGGGGAGGCGGAAATGTCTAAATGTTCATCGATTGATCCATTGAGAGGAGGACGGGCCGCGGCCTTAGCGAACCGAATCTTACCGATCACATTCAGTTGGTTTTTATATTTGACGCGGTCATCCTCCTCGGTGTCCTCTTGGATCTCCCGATCATCTGTTTGCTGCTCCGGCTTAACCCCGTCGGGGGGTGCCAGATGCGCTCTTAGATAAACGGTGAAAATTTGCGTGATGTACTCCTCGACTTGAACCGGTCCGTATGCGATATCCTGCAGAAAGCGGGTCTGTAAATCAGCGAACTCGGAGTTTCATTCTTGAAGTCAGCGTGATTTTCGTCGAAGGGCCTCGTCCCTATCAAGATTGAATCGTTCCTTCCTTCTCCTTGATAAAAACTCACCGAACAAATGGCTGACCATGTTGAGAGAATTTGATCGAGGCTATCGCTGTATGCTGTGTCGTCGGCGAGTGAGGCCTCCTCTTGACTTGCCATTTCAATCAGATGACACGTGAGAGCTGTGATCCTGTAGGCGAGATAACCTCAGGTGTTAGATCGCATCAAACCAGAGGGCTTCGCATCCTTTATCGCGTAGAGACCTAAGTCTCGGATCTCCCCCTCCCCCCATTCTTCCCCCAAATGAGAGAAATGTTAAGAGTTTCTTGATTTCTGTTGTTTCTCGGACCTTTGTAGAAGAGAGTTGAGCTCATCTATGTGCTGTGCGACAGTCGTAGTTGGCTGAAACATCAAGAGCTTCGCGACGGCTTCTGTCACACCCACGACATGGGCGCGTACCGGCGTTCTCGATATCAACTCCAAGACGCCTTCGAAAATCCATCCGATATATTCCCTGTAAATAATTTCCTCGGATCAGAATGTGCATCCTTGTCTGCATAAAATAAACGGGCCGTGGTCGGGGACGCGCCAACGTTTCAGCGAGACACCGATATCGGGAATCTAGATGATATTCAGTGAGACTATCCGTTACTCACTTATGGTCTACGCGATTGTGGAAAACACTTCCGTTTAAAGTACAAAGCTGGTTGATGCATAGGATGGCGCTGTGTCCGAGAGCTTCGTGCTCTTGGAACATATCGTAGAGTTTGAAAAATAGTTGAGGAACTTCCTTCTTCAGCAGAGTTCCCCGCCAAGCGAACCCCGGTCGCAAAACTGGACAGATCTGGGGAGAATACAATGTTTTCGGATCAGCTCTCCCCCTCACGGAGCGAATGGGTAGAAGATTAATGGGATCTGGATAGCGAAGATGGACTGCACCATACCTGAGTTTCGAAAAGATTCACCAGCTTCCTCGGCAGCATCATCGTGAACTGGAAATTCCACGACAGAATCTGCTCGGCCAACGACAAGAACTTTCCAATAAGGTACATAGCGTCGACGGAGACAGGCTGCTGTATGGTGCTGGCCTCGTTGAGAACGTGGAGACAGAATTCAAAAATACGCGGTAGATGGGTAGTCTCGAATAGTTTCTTAGCCTTCAGATGAGCCTCCCAAACCAAGCCGACATCCGACGCTCGCGTCGACGACGCGAACTCGATTAGAAGAGCGGTCATCACAGAACAGCCAAGCACCTGTCGACGGGCAATGAGAATTCGAATTCGAGTCTTTCGATGCTCATATCATATGGGAACCTGGCATTCATGCATTCCTCCGTTTCATTCGGAGCTAACCTGAAGTCGCTTCTCGTCGCTCATTATGAGTTGACTGAGGTCGTTCAATATATTTGTGACCACGTCCTTGTCTCCGTCGACGAACTGTCGTTTGATGGTGATTGCCAAAACGAGAACCATCTGCTCACGCACGAAGTTTTCCATATTCTCACGGGACGTTAAGTATCGTAGGAGATAATTCCGCAACCCGATGATCTGCAGAAACACGGACGTTTGATATTACATGATTTTGTCCGAGAGCTCCCCGGGTCGCGTTCCGGAGCTCGAGATCATGTGATTGAGGACGAAGCATCCGAGCAGATGGATTGTCTCACCTGCTCCTGCGATAGATCCTTCCATTCTCGGATGACAGCGCTTTTCAACAAGGAGGCAGCTTGGAACTGAACGTATTGTACTTGACTCTCTTCCAACAGTACCTGTGGGCAGGGAGGGGGACATTCAGCGATCGACGCGTTGGACGTACACGGGATAAGCAGATGAGTAATTCGATAGGATCTCATTCATGCCGTAAGTCGACACGAATCAACGAGGAAACTCTACTCACCTTGCATAGGTCGAACGGCTGTTTTGTTTTCTGAAGCTGGAGAAAAACATGCTCGGCTGCATGACGCTGCTCGGAACTCACGAGGTTAGCCGGAGCCTGTTCGAAGCAATCAGAGTCATTACACTTTGATCGCTGGTTCAATCGAGGAATTGGGGAATTTAAGGAAATTGAGGAATTTCTTCACGACAGCGCTCGTGCCCGTTGAGGGACGCTCGCTCCGGGTATGTGCTCCCGATCACGGCGAGCCGAGCTACGACAGATTCCAATTCGGAACGTTTCATCGATTCCGGAGTCCTACCCATTAGATTACGGGCGATCACTATTGACGTCTAAGTTTACTTTGGAAACTGACGGAGAACAGTGGCCCGGAATCCAAAGAGGCGGAGAATCTACGAATGAACTCGCATTCGAAATTTTTCAGCTCAGGACATGACCCAGTCAGCGCTTCCGACCCAACGCACCGAAATTGAACAAGGGCTGAAACGCTGGTTTGTAGAGAAGGGGCGTTTTCTGGCTGCGCAAAGGCCCGCCGCAATAGTCATAGGGCATCAGATGAATTCGAGGCTTGGGGTTGTACGAGCAATGTGCCTGATCGCAATAAAAGGAGTCGCCCGCGCGCACAGTCGGCTTCCCGCAGACGTACAGGACCTTCCCCGGAGCAGAGCTCTACTCGCAATCGTCCAATAAATCGGTGATGTGGTGGGGGAGGGACTACTAGATTCCGAAGTCGTAGACGTGTTGTTCCGGGGCCCCCCTCATTTTTCATACATTGAAGTGTATCGATCAATTTGCGATGAGATGGGCGAAATCAAAGATCGCATACCCTGTTCTGATCGTGCGGACGACGGGTCAAAGCGCATTGCTTTCCGAACGCACAGGAAGGCTTCCGCGAGAGAACCCAGAACTTAGGCAATGGATACTAATCAATTGTGTTTCCCAAATGGGTGGCGAGTACCACAATGATGCGACCCCTCCAGGAGTTAAAATGATACACATGGACGAGTCGGAGCGAAATTCCGAGTTTGAATGGGAAAAGGATGTTCTGAGCGCCCCCGGGTACTCAGTGCGAGAGCTTAGCCTCATCATTGTGAATCTTCCCTGTTCGACGAACCCTTGAACATTGCATTGATGATCATGAAAACAATCAAAATTTCTCTCGAGCTCAAACTCGAGCAGAAAGACGGAACTCTGACCCAATGCGTAATATCAAGCACGATAAAATATCGAGCTTTCACGGGTTCCATGCCAGACGAAGCTGCATGAGCTCGATACAGCGGAATACTTCATAGCCCATCAAGCGACCCATCTCGAAGAACATTGCTAGATAGTGGAGCAAGAGTCGAGTGCATCTCCGGAAATCTCCATGACTCGAGTCGTGGAGACGAAGTCCGACGTCGTTCCGAAAAATACGAAATTCTCCGTCTGTCCCTCGGATCTCAAGCAAGTTATCTAGGATCTGGGGAGTCTCTTCCAAATGAGAACCTCGAGAAAGTCTCCTGTGCACTTTCGAGAGCAAGGTAGCTTATCGGGGCTTCCACCGGTTAAGTCACTTTGACAAGCACAGAGCCCGGCTCGTCGAGATCAAAGCTAGAGTTGAGTTTCGAAGCCTACCAGAAATGTCCTAGCAGCATTTTCCAGCTCCTGCATGGCTTGGTGGCTCCCATTCATGATGGGTGCAAGGATGGTATCAGCTTTCCCTCCGTCAGACACTTCGAAATGAAATGGGACTACGAGCTATGAACCGAGAGCGGCGACCACCACCAACCATTGCTCTGAACAGGCTGAGAGGAGGAAGAGAGATTTTCGTCTGAGAGAGCAGACGGTCGTGTTTGGCAACAAGGGCGATTCTGGCATGCGGAAAAAAGAAATTCGGCATGTTCTATTAGAGAAAAAGCTTCGATCTTCATTATCCAATCGTTTTTAGACCAGCGAAACTCTCGCAGCATCGAATCGTAAGCCTGGAATTCTCGTTTTCGATTTTTGATGAGCGCGTCGGCCGCTTCCGGGTGTGCTTCCGCGCATAACGAAAGAATTGGCGGTTGTAGGTTTAAATCGCAGTTCAGGTTCTGCTGTTCGAAGTTCGGAACGAAGTTCGCAGGATTCTCATCTGGATATCTACATTGACTTCAGCTAGGTTGGTACCGAACCATGAGTCTGCTCCTGTGGAGACTCTTCTCGTCTTAAATCCTCTCCTGGAACCTGGACTGATCCGTTGGCGCCAATTCGACCCTCAGTTTCTTCCGTTGCTCAACCGCGGCTGGTGCACCCCTAGCTGTCATTCTGACGTTCGATTCGAGGCTCCTGGCTATAGATTTGAGCCGAGTCCGTCTACACTGATTCTACGAACACCCTCATACAGATTGCGACTCTCATGAATGGGATTCCTCGAGCTTGTGAAAATTGATTCGTTGATTCGAAACGAGTACTATTTTGCGAGCACCGAGCTGCGTCTTGTATCAGGGTCGAAACTTCTGATATTTGAGATCAGGGAGAGAACTGTCGCCGGAAGTCGCTCCGTTTTCCTATGCGAGCGTCCGGATTATTCCTTCTGATCCGGGATTTGAACGAGATGGAGTTCTACTATATCTGTCAGATATCCAGGATCTAGGGAAGCTTGCTGTGGTCCCTACCCTCGGAGCCTCTACAATTAGGGTTTCGTGATATAATTCGCAGGCAAGATGGTGCGGCGTAAGAGATTGTCTTTGGCGCCCGAAACATTGGAGGACCTCCAGGAAGTCACCGCGGATCAAATAGAGCACTCGAAGCTGGAAAGAGCCAGAGCGCTCCAAGAGCAAGCCGAAAAACAGAGCGCTCAGGTAGGGGAAATTCGGCTCGCATTTCGTCAATCGGATGCTCGGGAATCTTTCGATATCGAACAGAAGAATCATTCATGTGGACCGCGTCGAGCTCAGTCTAAGAAAATTTCTCTCATCTCCCGAAGGAAACCCAAGCGGCCACTCTCCACGGGGAACAATTATCAGTTTACATTCAAAATTGCGTTAAACTCGCACAAGACAATAAAATAACCATTCGGAATGCGTTCGACTTGCAACTGATTGACTACATGATCGCTTTCGCGAAGAAAGCAGACGCCGGTAAGAACACTCAGGAAACATCGCTCTACGGATCCTGATCCTCGAACTGGAATAAACCTAACATATTCTTTGTTTGGCTCTGCGAATATTTCAGGGAATGACGGTACGAACTTCTCCTTGGCGTCGATGTCCCTCGATGCGTCGGGGAAGATCTACGGATATCGTGTGGACGCCGTTCACCAAGACGTAGTCCGACTCATATCAGGCATAGGAGGAGGGAAGAATGGCCAAGCTCCAGATATTCCCGAAGCTCCTGAGAACATCCTCGGGGTCTGTGTCCGCTATGCGTTTCGATCCGGAAGGAATTCATACAATGGATTCAGATAATCAATGGATGGACAGGAGGGATAGTGGCATCGAAGCTGGATCCTCTGAGGAAACCGTGCTGTTACCATCGGTTTCGGACCCTGTCTGGAAAAAAAGAACTTTGCAATCGATCTCAAATCCTGTCTGAGGAGGAAGGAGCTCCGTCATGATCTCACCCTAATCGTGTTTCCGTTCTCCACAGGAAGATGCGGACTCGACGAAAAAGGTCAGAAAACGTCGAATCCGTAGCACCTACATCGGTGAAGATGGCGCTAATGAGGGACATATCGAAATCGATCACGAAATATGCGGCAATGAAACGCTCACAACGGTCCACCACAATGATGGTAGGTCCACCTTTTATCGCAATAGCGAATATCGGTATTTCCCGTGGGATTCCGAGCGATATTTCGAATACTTAGTCAGTTTGATAAGTCTCTCTCGAGAAATATCCCACCCCGCCAAGGGATCGAGGGAGCAATGTGACTTGCAGCGAGCAAGCCCGATGTCCTGTATCCTTTCAATGCCGGAGGCATTCCAGACCCGGCCATCTCTCGGTCGAGCGTTTTTTTTCTCGTGATGTATGCCCATCCCTCGAGGTCGAAGAGATTGTTGTCTCGCGCAGGCAGTCTCTCCCGCTTATCGAGTGGCGCATCAGGACTTTTCTGAATGAAATATTCCCGAATCTCAGGCAATGCGTTGGGTAGAATCTTGTCCTACAACCTGATACCCCTCGAATGCGGCTCCGTCGACTTGGAAGGTTCTTCTTCGTGGTGGTCGCAGGAACATCTCAAGAAAGTCGAGGCTGAGAAAGAAATCGTCGTGACGGAAGATCTTCCTCTACTTCACCGGCTTTTGGATCTGGATATGAACGCCACTCTGGCGATGAACGTTTCTCAGGCCGAAGCGGATCCTCTAAGCCAGGGATCCGACGACCACAACAGCTCGGTGGTAAGTTGTTGGCTTCACTTCAAGATCAAATACCGAATTCGCCGTGGTAGAACCAGCTCCGGAGCTTCCTCCGACCCGGAAATTTATTGTACCTACCGACCTGCCGCCTCGCGCTCCCGATGTGACCCGACTCGCAGATGATTAAGCCGCCGTAATCACTTTCCAGATTTTTGATCCGGACGCGGAACCCATGCCAATCGCTGAAGACTGCGGAGGAGACGCGGTCGTCGGGGACGTGCACTTAGATGAACTCTCGGCGATTCATCCTCTCGGAGCACCGAACGATAGTCAGTTCAGCATCGCCGGGGATTTCAGCATGATCTACCAGGACAAGTTCAAGTCCTCCGGTTTGAATTTCGCTGGGCCCTCACAGTTCCGCTTGAAACGTTTCAACATTCGTAAGTATAGCATTCCCTAAGATGCATTGAGATCGGAATCCGGGGAGGATTCTGATTTTAACACCGACCGATTACCGGATCCCTGAATCGATTTCTTTTATCCCTCCCAAGTGGGCTCCGAGAAGAAAGCTGCCGGACAAACTCGGCTCAAGACCCTCAAAAGAGATCTCAAGTACATGTCATTCAAGGATGAAGAAATGCAAGAATGCTTCGAAGATGTCACTGCTACTTCGAGCAAAAAGAAAAGTGAGATGGGATTCCCAAGCGGAGCACTCGTGTTCCTTCCAACGAAAGTTTACAAATTGAGGCCCTCAGCGGCGAGGAGATCCGTGTCATCCAACACGTTCCTTTCGGGTTTCAGCAAACGTTCTGATCTCAATGACGATGGATAGGTGGTCCAGCGAAACAACAACTCTCACTGTCGAATTCACGCCGTCGAGTTTCACCAGACTTGCTCAGTTGTTCACTCTGCCCAGTATTTCTGTTCGACAGAGCAAGCAAAAGGCGACAGGGGATTTGGGCGACGGTGGGTCGATCTTTTATTCCTTGTGTCTGCGAATTTCCAGTAGACATCCGAAGTCTGGCCAGCTCTTGGACTCATTTTTTATCGATCATTCATTGTTCACAGAACGACTCATCGAGTATCACGATGACGCCGACGACAGACCCGTCAGCCCATGCGCCGATGATCTATTCAGTGAATTGGGCCGTGATGCAGAGCACGCTGAGCGGGACTTCAACCTCGACAACATCGAAGCAGTGGAGAACGATTTCGGAGTACCTCCTTCCCAACCCTTGGATGAGGCTGGTTACGATAACCTCATTTCAGCTCCAGGAATCATAGCGGAGAAGCTCGCCATTGCCTACACGAAAGCCGCTAAAAAGTTCAATGTCCGTCAGATGAAGGAGAGCTACTGGAAAGTACTCACCAAGGAAACAAACACTGAAACTATGAAGGGCGAGAAGCCATTCTCCGAGTTGTATCACGAAGTCGTACAATATCTGTCGGCGACGAACAGAAAGAACATTTCTGTACCCTTAGCGTTCGTTTCAGCTCTTATGCTTTGTAATGAAAAACACCTGGTACTGAAGCCGGGCGTAAATGACACAGAGTTCACAATTAGCCAAGCTCCAGACCCATATACGACTAGCAAAGACCTCCATATTGATGGTTTTAATTGACTTGTTCGACGAGAGAAGTCTCTAAGGTAAAAGTAAAAGTATTGTTGTTCGCATTGTTCGGTTCTTCCTTCGATCTGCAGCGGAACCTCATCTCACCCCGAGATGGGCCCCTGGTAGTTGTCGGGAATTCACGAGCATGCCATGAAATTTGCTTCACGTCCACTCGAAACAGGAACTAGACGTTTCACGTCAAACAGTCTGTCCGCCTCTGAACATCTATCGGGAGAACGTAAGAGACGATTCGGAGATGGAGATTTCCGGGAATCACGTTACATGTCAGCGTTTCGAAAGTCTGATCTTCGAGCCTGGCCGACTGAGAGCGTGAGAAAATCAGGGAATCGTTCATGCTGGGACGGGGGCGGGTCAAGCAACATCGATAGAGAGTTCACACTCACTCAGGCGATTGAATGCTTCCGCAAGGCCCGAGATATTGGCGACGAAATAATCAGGCTCGCAGACCCCAAGCGGAAACACTTCTCGCTCGAGGCCGGGAGGGTGTGTACGGGAAACCGAGAGGAGACACTCCATCACACGCTCTGCCTCAATCATGCCTCAGGTTGCACCAAGCTGCTGCACCCAGCGCTCCTCTCGCCATTCCGATCAGTAAATGCGACGGGTCGCCCTCCCAGCCGAGGATTCAGTTCTTCAATCTTTAGCCCCGGACTACACAAGAACCTTCTCAGAAAGATAATCGTCACAGCGCAAGTCCGGAACGACGAACACTTTTCCCTGTCCTCTTGCCCACTTCCCATGGAGATATCGAAGAAATTCTTTCCCTATCGCGAATTTTCACAACAACGAGCAGATTCCGCTGGTCCCGCGTCCCGCGAAGCGTCTATGTTCCTTCATGGAAATTTTCTTGTAGCAGTCGAGATGTCGTTGCCGAGGACGGATTCCATCGCAGCGGGAATTCAAGAATCCTTCGCGAGAATGCTCTCGTATGCCGAAAAGGCGTTGTTCTTCGACGCGTGCGCGAATTTTTAAGAATTGAAACCCTGTACCCTGTAGAACATGCGTTCGCAGATGATGGGTGATGTGCGCAAACCGCTCCGTTGTTCCTTGCCACAGGCCGTCAAACCAAGTCGAGCTGTCGGTCACGGAATGGATATTTTATTGATAAGAAGGAAGCGTTCTCCATCTCGGTGAGGGGGGGCGCCAATCCATCCACGTTCTTCTACTCGGCCGTAGCCGTCGTATCAATAGCCGAATCTAGAGGTCGGGGCTAGGGCCTGAGACACGAACTCCAGTTGCTTAGATGATTTTCAGCCTTCCTCCGCATCCGGATGGAACGTCCAGGTCGGTGAACAAGTGTTGACTCCAACAGCTGGAAGCGGTCAGAAGCATTGGAGAGGATCGAGCGGGGAACAAGCCGAATTTTCCGTCACAGTGCGGCTCCATGAATCTGTCCAATGAGGTTCATGCTTGTTCCACGGTATGTTTACAAAATAACTACGGCCCGCTCGCCGGAATCCGACACTGGCTTAGCAGGGTCTCGCTTCGCTCTCCGCTCGGCCACAGCCCGAATGCGCATACCTTCGTTCGAAAGTGCATGACTCGTGATCATAAGGGCATCGAAGTGCCGTCTGTCGGCTTGGAGCTGTCTTCCTGAAACTCATCCAGGTCCGTCCCGGTATTACATGGAAGCTAGTGTCGCCGAAGCTCGTACTTCACATCCTTCGGGAAAAGCCGGTTCGAACTCGCATAGAGGGGACCAGTAACAAGATTTATCCCCTAAAATGAATGCAAAACTCCCGCGCGGAGGCTGGTCGGTTCTCAAATCTCTATTCGATGTGAAGGCGGTCAACGATGGAGTTGAATATCTGTCGCATCGACGGCGCGGCGCTACGTGTCAGCTCCATCGGAAAGCAAATCTATCACACCCAAACTCATTCGTGTACTCTCGGCGCTCATCCGCGGGCTTGTCTCAACGGTCGCAGCGTCAGACCGTCACTCTCGCGTCATCTCCTTACCGACTCGGACGACGAAGTTACGCAGCGCATGTTCGCGCCGGGAGATCGTTCGACAAGGTGAGGCTTGCGAACGCGTGGAAAGCCAGCCAGAACTTCATGCTTGGACTCCGGACTCGGTAATTCTCTCCAGCTTCCTCTGCGAGGAGAAAGCGGACACAGTGGATGTGTCGGTTGAAATTTTCGAGAGCCACATGAGCCCCAATCTGAGCTGGTGGAGATTTTGGCGTCTCAGTCAAAGTGTCGGATCGTAGTCGTTACGCAATCGGAGACCATCCCGTCTGGAAATCTTACTGTGCTTGAGCTCTTGGTGAGTGAACTCCAGAGGGAGCTTCAATCGATCGAAACGTTTTTGATTCGAGGATATGCGCATGGTGGAGCTCTCCATCCGGAAAATAGTTCACGACAGACAGCTCACCCTTTAGGACTAATGAGATTCGAGAAGGGATTCCCCAATATCCCTGTTCTGTAATATATTTTCTGAAGCGCAAAATACCTTCGAGCTATATCTGCATATGACTTTCAATATTGACGGTCGCCTCTTTCTCCTCATAGACATGGAAATGAGCTCTTATTCCCAATTGTATCCATTTAGAACTCGACTCGGATTCGAATATCAAAAGCTCACACCGAACTCCGAGCCTTTTTCGGAACGCTGACTTCACCGCCCCGAAGGATCATCAGTCCGACAGGGCTGCCAAGATGGTACGCTGGGATTATCTCTCGGTATCCGATATATGTATTTTTCAGCTATAAAATCTAGGATTCCCAAGTGCCTATATGCAGATGGAGCGAAGCTCCGTCCGAGAAAAATCGACGAAACCTCCTATTTATTCGACGAACAGTATCAGAACAGAATACCGACTCCAATGCTTCTTTTCTAGGGACCTGGATCCCAGAGCATCGGAGGCGAACACTTGTCGAGATGCCTGACGACTTGCGTGGAGCTTGTGCTGAGCAACAAGATTACGATTAAGAATGCATTCGATGTGAATCTCATCGAGCATATGATAGAGTTCAGCAAAAGAGCGAAAGACAGTGAGCAGCAAAGAGAGAAGACACCTCGGCGCTTCAGGATAATGAGAATATGAGAATCGATCGGAGCGACATATGAATCCCTCGAAAGTACCTGAACTTCGTCTCGACAGGGGAGGCTGCCACGGATTTCTCGTTGGCGTCGATGTCTCTGAGCGCCTCTGGGAAAGTTTACGGCTGTCGCGTCGATGCCGTGCATCAGTGTGCGGCCCGAATGCTTCTCGGGATTGGGGTTCCGAACAAGCGCAAAGCTTCCGATTTCGATAACGTTGATGGAGAACTCCGAGAGGTGAGATAAGGCCGCAGAGTTCTGAAGGGCCCCTCAACCCGCGTCCAAGAGTTTTAGTATCAGTGAGTCCCCGTCATATGGAGAGTATTGCTGCGAGAACAACTCGTCTACCGATGATCTTCCAGCTTTCGGATCAGAAGCTCATCAAGAAACGCCGAATCGCGAGCACTTTCCTTACCGAAGATGCAGCCATAGAGACAGATATCCCCATCGACTACGGGAGCTCGGACCTACGCATCGAGATTTTCGACGCAACTAATCGAAACTTCGGTAGGTACCGACTCGATTCACTGAGTATGCGATTGTATTTGTTGCGACTCCATCGACAACCCAATATTTCCTCCCCAGATAACGCCTTGGGGCGTCTCGTATCGTACAACTTGATCCCGCTGGAAACCAGAGGCATCGATATAGAAGGAAGGAAGTCGTGGTGGTCCACGAAAGCTACGAAAATATTTCCGAGAAAAAAAGAGATCCGTGTCCGCAAAAACCTCCCCTTATTGATCGAGTCGGTGGAGTTCGACCTACCGTTGCTCCCGGAGGAAGTCAAACATGAGGTCGATCAGATGGTGAGTCTCCGAGCGCCGACAATAGGAACAAGTTTACCTGCTCCTTCTCGAGATTTGTGCGATTCTCGGGGAGGAGCCTCCTGGATTCTCGAGAATCCGCAACGACCTGTCTCGGCCTCAGGGTCCAGTTGAGAGGCTACATGAAGGAGGTTGACATTGAGGGAAGAAACAGGGAACAGCACGAGAATAGAATTCGGCTCTGCACCCGCAATAAGGAGCTATCACCACTCGATAGAATCCCGTGATGGTTTCCGGACCACCAATAACTGAGCTGATCATCAGTAGCACTCCCCTCTGTCACGAATTCTTTCTCCGTAGGCGCCCGAAGCTCACGCCGACCTCGGAGAAAGAACCATCTCGCCGATGGAGTTCAAAGACTTCGGAATAGACGCAGAGTCGGTCGAGGATCACCCCGACGGCATCGGCTTGATCGCAGCCGGTGACCTTGGTAGGATCTACGAGGGTAGCTTCAAATCGAGCAAATCGAATTTCGCTGGACCGTCACAGTTCGAGATGAAGCGTTACAGCATCCGTAAGCTCCCCTCTCTTCTGCGGCTTGCTGAGAATAAGCTCGATTCTGTACAGATTCACAGAATATCTCCCTCCAGTCCCTAGCTGATTAATCCGATTCTCGGTTCTGTGGAGGCATGTCCGGTAGTGTATTTCAGCGCTCAAGTCCGAAACTTGTTTTCCAGTGGGTGAAGAGAAAAATTCCCGGGGACGTCGCAGGTCCAAGAAGTGCGAACCGCGATTCCTTTGCTTAAGCGACCCCGAGACCGCCGAATGTTTCGAAGGGGTACAGCCGAACCTCGCGAAACGTGAGTCATTTTCTACCTCGGTCCCTGCAAGCCGCGGTCGGGTTCCGCCATATTCCAGGGATGATTCCCCCTCCATGTGAACGTGATGCACGCGTTGCGTTCATAGTTCAGGCTGCGACCTTCTCGGTAATTTCCAGTGAAGCGGTACGGTGAAGCTTCGATGGATCAGTGGTCAAGCTCCGGGACATGTTTCGCTGTGGAATCGGCTCCAGCGAGCTTTTCGAGGCTGGTGCAGTTGTCGTCCCTCCCAGATCTACCCATTCTTCACGATCAGAAGGAGAAAACGGAAGACTTGGGTGAGGGTGAGTTGAAATATCCAGGGCTTCTACTAGGAACCTGATATGGCTCTTAATTCGAGTTCACGATCACGAGATAAGAGCCTGTGATTCATTCCAAGAACGTCTCATCGAATACAGCAGCGACGCGGATGACATGCCGCTCAGCCCGTGCGCTGATGATCTCTTCTTTAAACTCGACGGGGAAATTACTGAGAGCGGCTTCGACCTAAACGAAGGAGCTGAAGAGGATTACGAAGTACCGGCTTGTGAACCCTCGGAGGATTCTAGATATGACACTCTTATATCGGCGCCGGGTATATTGGCGGAGAAGCTGTACATAGCCTACACAAAACGAGCTAAAAGGTATGATATTCGACAAATGAAAAACGCATTTTGGGATGTTCTGACGGATGGGGAACCGTCTGTACAGATGAGGGGTGCAAAAGCCTTCGCTGGCATGTATGCGACGGCGCTTCCGAAGCTAAGCAGGACGAACCAAGAGAATATATCCCTGCCGGTGGCATTTGTTGCGACTTTGATGCTGAGCTCAGAAAAACATCTCGAGCTGACTCGGATCGAGAACACATCCGATTTCTCTGTCAGCCAAGCTCCCGAGCCAACTGGAGGCGGCGCGATTTGAAGATGAGCCTCGAGGTCTGGTCTTTGTGTGGTCGACTATCCATTATTGTATACCGGACTGTAACTAGAATCTCGCTCCCCTGGGGATGGCTCGACCTGAAGGTCTCGATCCCATGCAGTGCGAACTAGGTAGCTGTTCCGATAGAGATTTCCCCGGCACATTGGGAAGGGAGTAGTCTCGATACGCTGAGCGGCTCTGCCCGCATTAACTGTTGAGATTTTGTGAATTTAATTCGAATCTTGAGTCGTCATCATGAGATCGCCGTAAACTGCATCGTTAAACTCACCAGTGGCCTCTCGGATATAATTTAATATATTATACATACATGTATATTTACAGAATAACATGAGAAGATGGATTTTCAAAGGGATTCCTCGATTTAGGTATTCTACGTGCACATGCTTGAGGCTTCAGCGCCTCAGCCAGCCAGCTGCTCTAAAATAGAGTAGTCAGATTCTCCCGGCGCCGCGGAAGAATCTAGAGAAAGTCATTCTCGAAGTCGAATTTCAGCTGCTGATGCATGCGAGCTCAAACTCCCCCTCTCCCTTTTTGGTACATTCTACTCGTGAATCCGAACGTGCCGTCGATCTTTCAACTACAGCTTCCCCCTCCCCCGTAGTTCCCTCCTGGTAGGGGCTCCCGGCAGAGGCTCTCAACGAGAGAGCTTCAGTGCAATACAAGCCCCTATCCGGGAGAGTTCCCCTCAAGGTAAGCTCAGTGTCATCTGTCGAAAATTCCACCAATGCTTGGAACCTCCATGCTGATGCATTTATACTCTCCCAGAGTGTGAAATTCAAACGGTTCCAGATGGATACCCGGTGTCAGTATGAAAAGGTCTCGCGCTGGCAGCGAGCTATCAGAATATTCCGTATCCCTTCTTATCAAATGTCAAATGCCTCTTGGAATTATGTAGACTTCATTATAGCATGGTTTACATGAATCCTTCCTGGAATTGAGAGCTTCAACTACCGATATCGGGCGCGACATCGATCCACCGTGAGAAATATTGATTACCCTCGTCTCTCGTCTTCCAGAAGACTATCTTGGTTGACGGAGTCTTGGTTGTGGCGCAAATAGGCTCTTTCTAGAATCATGTGTTGTCCCGTCGACTTCACTTCCCGGCAGATGAGTATAGCTGCAGCAGGGTGGAATCCTCTGATTCTCGCCATGAGGTGCGCCGTTTTGAACCGAACGGAATGTTTGGGAATCATTCCCCTCTTCGACAAGTTCACTGTAAATCAAAATACATGTATGATGCTACCAACGGTTGTCTAGATCCTCCCAGAGAATTCGTCCTTTAGCCTCAGAAGACGGCATTTCAAGCCCATCACGAGGGAGCCCGATTGCCGATGGGAATGGTATTCGGGTCCTCATCGATGAGAAGGTTTTTAGGAGCGCTATCATGAGTCGCAACGCCATTCCTCGGGATGGGATGTTCATTTCCCCCCTTGCCCCCTGACGGGATTCCTGTGTATTCCGAATCGAGCTCGATGTTCTGAACTGACGGTAGGTGCATGAACCATCGGGTGGCCTTGAGGACCACTTCGGGAACCACCGCCACCTAGAAACCTACGGAAGATGAGTTCGAAAGAGCGCCTCCTCCTCCACCCCCTCGCTCGTCTCTGCGGTGTCATTCGAGTTCTCGAGAAATAATTCGACCAACTCGATCCCAGGAACGCTTGCGAAAAGTTGGAACGAACTGTTCCGTGGACCGATGACACTGATAGGATGTTTAGGCGCCCATGTTCTCGGAAGTCATATCCATACTTCTCGTCGGAAGGATTGCCGGATTGAGGCATGGAGTCGTGATCGTCCCAGTTCAGATTGCCAGAGTTCTCGAGGCTCTGAACAGAGAACGCTTTGCGAGTGATCCGACTCAAACTCACCTTCAGAATAAGTCAGTCTCGGTCAGTGATTCGGCAATTGCGTCAAAATACCACGCGGAGCTTCGCCTTCAAAGAAATCAAGGATCGGAATCATCAGCCCTCACATAAGAGTTCTGGGCCCGCTCTCATAAAAATCTTCACGACTACTTTCTGGTCTTCAAGATAATGGGTTCACCTCATTCGCTCGAGGATATGTTGCTGACCGAAAAGCATCCCCACGACGTAATTATAATGCTTGGGGTAGATATCGAAGGTTAACTCATCGATTAGGGCTTTTTTCTCGCGTTCCCGGATCCGTGCATTGTGGCTGGGAGCCGTGAAAGCTGTCGCTACTAATGAAAGCACGTTCCTTGAATGAGAGGGGTCGGAGGGGGGAGTCGGGGGGCCGCAGCGGAAATCTACTTTCCATTGATTCACGAAGCCATCTGCTGAAGAGATTCCGGGAACGTCATCGGTGATTCCGCCTGTATGCTCCGAGCATCCGAGATCTGAGCTTGCCAGGATGCCGTGGCCGATGACATCGTAATATCCTGAACTTGAGCGCAGAGGCTGCATTGTTCTGAAGTCATGATTCGAGCATGCCAGAGTGCCCTGACATCGTGGCATTTTGAACCAGGGTTTCGCCTCGCTACAGCACCATCTACCATCTCTCGCATTCCAGCGGAGATGGTGAAGGTAACGAAGATGAACGTGGAAGCGATCTGAATATTCTGAGGAAGGGTCACTTGGAAGACACTTCGTGCTCATGATACTCAACTAGATGGAGGAGATTACTGATCCAAGGAATGACACGATAGCATTATGACTATAACCCATCCCCGGTTTTTCCCCAGGAAAGGAGTGGAATAATGGGGCTATCAGCGGGCATCGCGTTCCGCGATCCTGGGTCGCCGGTTGCAGGTTGCAGTACATCGCTAGGAGAGATCGCGATCCGCGATCGAGAGTAAGGGATTGCCGATCGCGATCTCTCCAAGCGGTCTCTCGGAATGCACCGCGATCCGCGATCAACTACTTTCAGGATTGTGGATCGCGCTACTGCCCGCCCATGCATCGGCGTCCGCCATCTTGCTTCGCGATCGGAATGATACAAGGAGACTCCGTTTGCGATCCTCCACACTCTTTGTCGCTGCCGACGGGCGCGAGTTTACTCACTGCCGTTCCTCCGTACCTTGGGAACGCCATCTCTGCGTTCCCGGGGAATTTCATGTCTTCCGCCGGAGAAGCTCTCCACTAAAGAACGGAACTGAAATCTACTGTTTACATCGACTGTCGTCTCCTCTCTCAGGGGATGCCGGCAGAGCCGGCAGTGATCGATCTCATTACGTCTCATCAGTCCAGTCAGAACTCGAAATAAGAGGTCTTCGCCCCGGAGCTCATCGCTCCATTGTCGTTCTGTGATGGACACGTCGAAAACGAGCTCGATCAAATGCCTTCTGATGCAAGCCTGGCGGGAACGGTGGTGTGATGTCCGCTGGGGGATCAATATAAAGAATGTTCTACCGAGAGGTGAGTTCTCTCCCGTGGTGAAGAGCTCAATCGATTGACCGTGATTCGAGAGCCGACACGGAGCTCCTCGGCTCCGTGTCATTCCAGGGCAAAACGGAATCGACGGATCTGTGGTGGAACCTATGCTCAAGGAAGCCCGAGTATAAGATCTATCCGGAATATTTGGAGTGGGGAACGAGGGAATCTTGTCTTTGTTGACAAGTATTCAGTGCATCAGTCTCTCGATGTTCTCGTGCAATGTCACAGCTGGGGAACGCTCTAACGAAGTATCAAGATATCTTGAATGATGATTGGAATATTCGATTCGGGAAGCTCTTCGATCAGTTTCGAATTGATTCGAAAGTATCTGACGGTAATTCACTCTCTACAGGTGTATCCGGTGACGTCTATGATCTGGCTGATTGCATTCTCGAGCAAGCCATGGTCGGACCCATCCCCAATCAGCTCCTAATGTCCTACCTGACCCACTGTTTGTCGTCCCAGATCATATCGTACGGTGCAACCTTCTCGTCGGTAGCTCGATTCGACAACTACGGAAACACCCGATGTCTGCAGTGCCTGCTGGACCTCGTGGGGGAAATGCAACAACGTGTGGTCTGCCACGGGAACGAAGAAGAGTGCATAGCCTTATGCAAATCCACTGTCAGTCTCGCGCTGTGGCTGTACAACTGTATGATATACGGAGCGGAGAGTCAGGAGGCCGCTCACGTTCTGATCCTTTCGAAAAGCGTTTCGTCTCTCGCTTTCATGAGCAGGAGTACTTTTTTGAAGGCTCTATTATTCATCGGACGCCGTGAGGACGACGAAACCTACCAACAGCTTCTCAAGAAACATTCCGAAGCGAAGCAAAAATTGCAGAACGTCCAGGGACAAGTGCGTGAGACGGTGCTCGAAGCTCTGGCTCTGGTCAAGAGACTGGACGACATGAACAAAATCAAGGCCGAAAAAATGACGCGAAAACCTGGCATCGTCATAGGACTCGTGACCTGTGTCACAGTTGAAGCCATTCTGAATCCGGGCAGCTCGATACAGAGCGTGGCCGATGTGCTGCAGTTGACGAAAAGTCTTCTGAATATACCGAACGACGTGTTCTACTCCGAAATCCTGAGATCTTGTCTGATGGGGATGGCCGAAGTCATCCCTACGAACAACGATCTCCGATGGACCGCTTTCACCTACCTCAAACTCCCTCTTGTCCTCGAAAGGTTAAACAGGAACGACAAGGGTTTGTACAGAGGTCTCGAAACACTCCTGACCTACAAATCATTGCTCGATACAGCCGATAGCAGATGCAGCCACGACTGCGTCGCTCTAATCGTCAGCGAATTCGCCAAGATGAAACTACTGACCGAAGACGAAGCTCAAGAATTACGAAGCAAGAGAGTACCTAACGCTCCGAAGGAGGGCACAGCACATTCGTCGTTGATCATCAGGGCCGAACCCACAATGAAGAGTATCCTCAGTACATTGGATACGGATTACACGAGAAATCCTGATGCGCCGCTGGCGGTTCTGAAACAGATGATCACAGGAATGAGTTTCGAACTGATCCTGAGTGCGGCTGCCTCGACAGGCAAGCTCGGTATGTTTGTGCGGAAATTGGCCAAATTCAACGACCAGCACAACGCGATAGTGGCCGAACGCGAAGGGACCCGGGCCATGCTGTTCGACATCACCTTCCTCATGTTATGTCACATCGCGCAGGTCTATGGAGTCGACACGGTGGTAAGCAACGATACGCGCGATTCGTTTTTCGCTCAATGGGTCCCAGACTGCTTGGTTGACCCCAATCGTTACACTTGTCCGGAGAAAATGCTCTCGAGGGCGAATCGAGAGAAAGTGGATCTTCTGCTCCAGCAACTCATGCGCTGTGGTGATCCGAATGAGGTTCTGGATTTCAGCGCGACCCATCAAAGATGGTCCGACCTCGCCTACGACCTCCCGGCAGCAATCAAGGAGATACTTATCGGCTGGGAGCAGGGGAACGTCACGACGAACACCGTCAAAGCGATACTGGAACAGATAAAATCCAAAATGTGTTTCCTCCCCGTGGTCATATCGACATGGCTTAGTTGCCACATCAACATCCTCCATCACGAAGAACGCCTGAAGCCCATCAACATCATGAATCAATTTCAACAGGCGGCGAAAATCAGCGACGAAGCGGAAGCTCAAGACAACTACAAGGACCGACAGTCGCTCACGGCTTCCATCGTGAAGAAGATGATGTTCCACTTTCATCCTTCGGGACAGAATAAGATCAGCGCACTGACGGATAAAACACCTCTGTGGACTGCCGTGCAAGAGGTGTTCGACTCCGTCCATTCGGGCAACTGGATCGATATTGCCACGATAAACAGTCTCAAGGGAATTCTCGATATTGCGGGCCCGGTGTGGTTCTGTGATGCCCTGATCCGCCAGGCATTGAAATACCAACACCAAGACGACTTGAATCGGGCTGTCGAGCTCGCTTACGGGATCTTCCAAATCGATATCCAGCACTGCGCCTTGGCTCTACTGACCAATGTCCTGCCAAATTATCTGCTCTGGGAGAGTAAACAGCATTTTCTCACCGAGCCCAAACTCTCGGCCTTGGCCAAACTAGTGACACTGACAACCATGACTGCTCTCAACCTCCGCAAGGAGAAGGCGGAAGCGCAAGAAACGAGAAGGAAACATCCATACTGGGACATGGAATTACACGAAGCCTTGATGAACCATTCTAAGAGTAAGAACAAGAATCGTCGCATGAACACCGACCTCGAGAGCCTCGAGGACACACCTCACTGCCTTCAGTTTCACAACAATGAAGATTCTCTGGAGCCGTTGGTCCGAGCGATCGCAGAGCTTTTCCGTCTCCTCTACTCGATCGCGACGGAACCGCAGATCAGTCAGCGATCCTTCTTCCCTCTAGAAATATTCAAACAGTTCGTCACGTGTGACGATCCGAGCTCAAGTGAAGTTCTTCAATTTCTCCCTCTCGGTTTCATTTCACAGCTGGTTCGATCCATGCCGAACTCCATTACCCCCAACTTGGTGCTTGCCCTCTCGTCATTCGCGACATCGAGGACGCGGAAGGTGGTTGCCCGAGCGATCTGTCAACTTCAAATCACGCAAGACATGATCTGAATATTCTCTGTGAAAAAAAATTCGGGAGAAATCCCTCTTGTATTCTAGATCTGTACATAGCATGAAGCCTCGACTTGAACCGAATTCAGAATATGTAAAGCGGGACCACCGGGCTGCTGAGTCGCAACACGATGGGGTTTGAGACCGTGTCCCTCCATTTCACGGTTGCCTAATCAGAATCATCCATAGGAACCCGTCCATCGAGACACAGTGATCTACGGTATACCCGGGAAAAGTTGACCGGAATGCGCCAGGGAGAAATTCTTGTGAGCGGAAGGTTTCGGGAGCGATGAATATACATTCGACTTGTTCTTTCTTTATGTGGAGTCTCCTATCTCAGATCAGGCGGAGCAGGTTCACACGCATCGGTACATGATGAGCGAGATCCTGATCCGTGACCTGTCGGTCGATTCCTTTTTCCCGAGCAATCGTCCTTTAGACTGTTATTGGCGGTGAATGTGAGGAATTAGTGGAGTACAGACTGGTGTAGTCGGCATCGAGTATCCTCGGAGGACATTGTGACTGCCAACAATTTCGGTGAGGTTCTCGCTCGACTCAAGAGCTTCCTCCTCATGAACCGAAGCACCTTCTGGTTCCCGTGCTGGACGGAGATGAGCACAAAGACGAAACTCTCCGGGAAGACCGAAAATCGTACAGAACCCCACTCCTGGTATTCAAGTATACTTCAGAGAGATCGGGTGGTCTCAACTCTCAACACGGTGAAAGTCCGGGGGTCTGAAGCAGAGATCATCATCATCATCATCATCATCAGTGCCTCTCGGCGAACGCTAATAAACTAATAACGGATAACGATGCGTCGATTGAACGTCGGGAAGCATCATCGAATGCCACCCTGTGCGTCCTGTTAATCATCCGTTGGGGGAATGAGCTTTCCCTTGGGGCTCCGCTCCTACATTCCCACGAAATTTCGCCTTAGGTCTAAATCCAATCTTGGATGATTCCATTAGGCTCTTTATGTATGAGACATCGCATCGGATAATAAACGAACGATTCTATGCAAAGCGAACCTATCTTAATCATAATTGTACTGAAATTATATGGCTACCGAGCAGTAGACTGAACATTCGAGACCGTGTTTGAAACCGGGTATGTCGTCTCTCTGTTCTTCTTCTCGGCGGCGGCACGTCCTTTGTTTGGGACATGTCAGTAGCGATCGCGATATTCGGAGGCGCCAGATCTTCGCTGCGGGCCGCTGAGGGAGATTTTCGAATTTGGTGTTGACAGTTGAAAGCATACAATTTAGTGCATAGTGGACTTCAGAAAGAAAGGTGAGTTATCTCTATCTGTCCATCTATCCTGTGTGTTGGCGCACTCGACTGCCAACACCGCCGATTGCTCGCTCGCGCAACGGTCCTCCACCGGCAAGAAATTGACCCCAGTCAGCAATAATTAAACAGCGATAAGTCATATAGAGCAGAATGACCTAATTGATCTCTCGAGGATCTCGTGGTTTTCCCTCGCTAGCTCACTCGACGTTCCCGCGGTTTGGAGAAGGGATGGAATCACAGATGTCGGCGATCTGCCATTCCCTCTGTCAGTCGCCGAAGATTCGAAGATCGAGAAAGTTTTTCGATAACGAAATGACTCGATCTCAGAGGCTTGAAACGAGATGGCTCCTACTCTGAGAATCAGGTTCATCTGGGAAATGTCCCCTCAAAAAGCCGAAAGCTGGATGGGAGTCCATGTACCCTCAAGAATTCGGGAAACACCGTTTCGACGATGGAGGGAATCGACGACTCGTTAGCGGACATTACTTCATTGAGTCTGCCTCCTTGAACTAAAGCTCCCGTCGATGATATTAGAGTAATGATCCCGTTGCCGGCCGCGTGAACTTTCCCGGAGCACATTCGATGCAACTGGGACTTAGATTTCGCAGATGTGCGCGAAACTCCTCCACAAGATATGACCGAGGAGGTTTCAAAACGGCTCCGACGACTGACAGCATCGGAATTTGAAGGTTTCTCAATTTGCAGCAGCGATGAGCGAATTCGTCATCCCCGGCTCGCTGGAAGAGATGTCTTCCAGCTCAGCGGGCACGTACATGATGATACAACCTTGGGACGAGCGGAAAATTGCACGAGCCCAAGAGGAATGGCAGTCGAAAGCTGTCGTCTTGGATGATGCACCGAAACTTGTCCCAATTTTCTACTCTGCCATAACGTAAGATGCCGGAAAGTTCTCTCTGACGGGGAAATCTCTCTCAGATACAACAGAGGAGAATAAGCAGTGGCTCTGATTGGAGAACTTCGAAAAATTGTGAAAATTGGATTACAGGCAAACCCCTAACTTGAGCGAATTCATGCTAACGGACCTATGGAGATTGATATTCAAGTTTGTGAATAAGTTAGAGTCAGCTTTGAACAAGCTCTCAAAAGATAACGCTCTCGGACCCGAAGAAAGGAAATGTTTGCGGAACGAAACGACTATTGTAACTTATTTCTTCGGACAATACATACAAGCTATAGACCTCGAAACCCGGAAAGTAGGCGCAGCTTTCGATGTCATGGCCAAGAAGACCAAGAAAAAGGTAAGCGGGTCGCATGGTTCTGATCACTAGCAACGTGAAGAAGAGAATCACTCCGATATAAATACAGGATGCTAATACGCGCTCGACTTCGGCTCTTCCAGGGACCAGCGGGAGTGGGACGTTTCGCGAACTGGGATACAGAAAGGATAACTGCACTCGAAGCTATACTACAGATCTTGGAAGCTCCTCTAAAAAGTATATTCTCTGACGACTCCCTCAACCAGCTCGTCAACTCGGTCGCCAGCAACATCTATCGGCTGCTTGGCAACATCTCAGTCTGCAAGGACTCGACTTGTGTGAGTAGCAAGCGGAATTATTTCTTGACGCACTGATCCTCAAATATCTCGACGTCAGATCTCGACTCGACTCCGACGGTAACGATAGAGGAACGATAATCAAAAAAAACCTCCCATCTCGTTTCAGAGCGATCTGTGTGCGCAGATCATAAACATCGCCATCATGCAATACGGCCACGGATCGCTGTGTCCATATCAAATTCCTGCCCTCATGTCGACTACGGAGCATGTCGTCCCGGTGCTGGCATCGATCTTCGACGAGGTCGTCAACAAACATGGCGAGATTTCCCTTCTGCCAGACCTCTTAAGGTGACACTTTCGCAGCTCCCCGAGTGTCCCTGTAATAAGTTCCGACCTCAGAAATCGAGTATTGTCGTGATTCATCCCATCCGATTGCAGAGAGCTGACGGCGATCTCAGATTGCTCCAATGGGGACTCACTTGTGAGCAAGAATACCGGGGAACTGCTGAATCAGCTATGCCAGAAACTCGCTGAGCGTATTCTGCCTCTCGTTTCATACATTGACGCTCTCTTGAATGCTCCCAACTTCTCCGTCAGGAATTCAGCTCTCTCTGCGATGGCTGAGCTGGTAAGTCAGCACCGATGGAGTATGGAAGCTATGGCAAGGGAAAAAGGTAGAGTGTATTGTTGATCCACTCGCGGTTTTCTGTTCCGCTGTTCTAGGTCAAACACGGATTGACGAAGCCCGGGCTGACCGAGAAACAGGAGAAAGACAAGGACTCACTGTTGGACATGTTAATCGCGCACATGAATGACGTCTCGTCTCATGTGCGTGGGAAATGCATCAAATTATTGAGCGAACTTCTCTTGGCGAATAGTTTGCCGCTGGCGCGGCAACCCGAAGTCATAACGGCTGTCGCAAAACGTCTCAGAGACTCAACGGCGACCGTTCGGAAATACGCGGTCCAGTACCTGACCGAATATGTCGAATATAATACATTCCTCAGAACTATGACCCCTGAGAGTCTCGAGACCGCATTGGAGCAGAAAAGAGCGTTGGTTGCTGAACTAAAGGAGCAGATCGGAGTCGACCAAAAAACTCCGGACGACTGGGATGAGGTCTCCGCCAAAATGATGTCCTACTTCGGGAAAAAAGGTGGCGATGGGGAATCCTAGATCTTCCGAATATATGTTTCGAATCGTCATGATTCCGCCTGAATAACCCGCCTCCGTCCCCAGAACTACCCAAGTTACCCGATGACCCCAACGATCTCGAGCGTCCGAAAGGAACCCTGCAAGAGGAGCTAGGAAACGTCACCAGTCTCCTGGATGCGGGAAAGTTCTCGGAAGCCATCCGTCTTCTGCAGAAATGTGCTCACTGGTTCCAGGAATGCCCTCTCTTCCGGGAGGTAGAAGCCGAAGAGGAGGGAAAAGAAACGGCGTCGGATGAAAGTGAAACTGAGAAAAATGAGACCGAGAGTGAAGGAGAGGGCGATGAGGATGAGCAAGACAGCAGCAAAAGCGAGAAAACGGAGCAGGAGTCGGAGAAGAAGGTCAAAGTGGACTGGTTCGCGCTCGCGAGAAACGTCTACCTGAGAGAACCTCCGAGAAAAACGGCGAAGAATCAGAGACTGGACGAACATGATGAGCTCACCCCGTCGCAGGCTGAACCCGATGAAGCGGTAAGTGATGTGAAGGCGCGACCACGGGTTGGAGATAAGGGCCATAGCTTCCCTCGTAATCCATCAATCGGATACCTTCAGTAAAGGGGAGAAACCACAGCAGGGCGCGCATAGGTGCGGTCGTCGATCCGATAATCAGACTGAGCTGCCACGCTATGATTCATTTCAGACAAGCCAAACCGACAGGGAGATCCTCATTTCAAAATTAGCTAAGCACGAGAGCGACCTCCGAGTGGTCTCGTACCTCAGACATTACTTCGATGTCTATAGCGCTGCATCCCAACACGTGGGGATGATGTTGCAGTCGAAAATCACATCAGACATTTTATCAGCTATCGACTTCTTCGTTCGGTTGATAAATGCCAACGTGTCGGTCGGCTGTCGCAGCATATCTCAGATGGCGCATCTCTATGACCACAAAGACGAATCGGTGAAAAAAGCCGTAGAGAGCGCATTCGAGAATTTGTATCTAACTTGCGACACGAACGACCCTCGAAAAAATTCCATCGTCACGGCTCGGAAACTCATCGGCCTTTTCATAAACTGCACTCAGGGTGAAGTAGATAAGTGGGGCCGAGTGATCGCTCAGCTCGTCGCCGACAAGAAGATACCAAGTGAAGTCGTTTTGGTGAGCATCGATCACACATCCCAGTGCCATGTACCATGCATCTATTCACATGGCTAGTGTCCCGGTGGCCCCCAAATCTGAGACGCCCACCCGCTCTAAGACAGGTTTTTCTCTCTCCCTACCCAGGTTTTCTTCGAAATTATAACCGAGAAGCTCGGCAAAGAGGAACCTCTAGTTAGGACCGCAGCTCTCCTTCTAATTGCAAAATGCTCAACGAGGAAGCCGTCGATCGTGGAAAAGAACATGCCAATCCTACTGGAATTAATGAAAGAACCCATATTCATAAAGTGAGTGAGGACTCAGGAATTGTTTCGGTGATGAATGTCCCTTCATATCTCCATCCTGTTTCGAACCAGCTCTAAATCAAAGATGGTGGATCAACAAAAAGTGTCCCGTTTTCCAGGTACTCTATCATGGCCTTGTCCAATCTCGATGTGGAACGTCGATGGGATATAGAACACGAATGTTTCGTCACGATCACTAACGCGTTCGTGGAAAATTTATCCAATATGGAATGGACAGGATGGAGCAGCGCTTTCTTTGAAGCAGTCTGTTTGATCTTCAAATCTTGTGCCAAGCCGATGAAGACTTTGACGAAGCTCGCGAACAGCGTTCTTCAAGCTTGGACAGATCGCCAGGTGAGCTCGACCAGCTGCTCTCGATTCTGCCGATCGCATAATTCTGCGGCCTCAGAAATCTTCCAGAGCTTTCACTTCGATACGACCGCTCGTGGATCGGTCGAATCAAGCTCGAACTGTTCGAATAAGTATTGAACTCCCAATTGATTCCAGGACTTGATGCAATTCGCTCGAGTTTTGTCCATGGTGCAGTCGATCGCTGCCCGGCTGTACGTCTTCTTAGACATCGACTTCTACGGGAAACTTCAAGAGAAAAAGGACAAATCGAAGAAAACCAAGGAGCAACGAAGAAAGAGTCTTTCCGAGTCCCGTAGGAATGCGAACGCTTCCATGAATGCAACGAACGACGGAGACCAAACCGGTCTCGTAGGGGCTGTAGCCGACGAGACCGAGGCCGAATATATCGTGACGATTCTCGAGAATGAAGCCCTGAAGGAGAATTGTTTCCTCGGATCCTTCACTCCTCACCTAATCAATGTCCTGAAGAACCCCAAAGATTTCCCCTGTCCGAAACTACAGCAACAGGCGACAGTTTCCCTCATAAGTCTTATGCTGATCAGCAGCAGGCTTTACGAAGAGCATATCGCCTTCATCTTCACAATCCTGGAGAGATCTCTCGATGAGCTCCAGAGGTGCGCCATAATCACATATATCCCCGATCTGTGCAAATCCTTCCCCAACTCGTTCGATCCGTGGACGGCCAAGGTCTACGAAGTTCTTAAGCGAGAGAGTTCCGCCAATGTCCGGCGGAAATGCATACTCATTCTCTCGGACCTCATCATGCACGACCAGATAAAAGTCAAAGGGACCATAAGCGACGTGGCTTGCTCGCTGCTCGACGAACACGCGCCCATTGTGCGGATGACGGAAATCCTCTTCCAGCAGCTGGCAATGAAGAACAATTCCTTGTACAACATTCTACCAGATATAATCTCTCGACTCTCTGACGAAGAACACGGAGTGAAACGAGACGATTTCCAGAAGATCATTTCTTTCCTTTTCAAACAGCTGGGGAAAGATAAGAAACTCGAAAACTTCGTCGAGAAGCTCTGCGGTCGATTCCGTTCGTCTACGTGAGTGTTTCCGAGTGTCTCCCCGACGATTCTTGACCGTATATTCGCGCTCCTTTCCATAATGCTTATTTTTTCCACGTATGCGCTGGACGCTGAGAGCCGTGGGTAAAGTTCTCTCGTCCCATATTCCAGAACCGACCTTCAGTGCCGGAATTTGGCTTATTGTCTCAAGCAGATCCCGTATACAGAGCGGAGTTTGCGGAAGCTCATCGATAACATTTCGTGTTACGCTGATAAGCTCATCGACCCGGAAATTGCGGCATGTTTCGATGAAATTTGCCAGCAAACTTCAAAGGGCGCGAAAAATGAACTCAAGGTTCGTCATATTTTTCTAGGAGTACCCATCCGTCGCATTCTGTCGTCTCGAATCTGCAGCCAGGTCCTTCCCGACATGGAACCGTTATTTCTGATACCATCCTTCCTGATTTCGCAGTTGGTGGTGACTGAGCTCGAGAACGCCCTGGATGAAGCGAAGAACAAGTCCGACGAAAACAAAGAGATCAACTCTGATGACCCCGCGGCTGTCCGCAGAACGCCTTCATCACAGCGCTCGACAGTTTCCAGCCAGAAATCAGCGACGGCGAGGGGTAAGATATCCCGCTAGTAGAAGCTTACGGAGCCCCCGGCCCGTTCTTTGCATGCGAGATGCCGATTTCTTCCCGAATTCAGATAGTTGAGTTCTGGCGAGAGGATTTTTTTTCCCGAATTTGGGGTCCGCTTCGCACAAGTATAGCTGAATGGCTCCGAATGACTCTTTTTTTGCAGCCCGCAGAACGGCGAAAACACCGAAAACGCCACAGAGGAAGAAGAAAATCACAGACCTGATGGACAGTGATTCGGACGGCGACGATTTTATCCCAGCGAGCTCTTCCACGCGGAGCGCCAAGGTGAGTCCGGGGCCGCAAAAGTCTAGAATCTCGAACTAGATCGCTCCCACCCGAATCGCCTGAGTGATCGCCACATAGTTCCTAGCTCTTAAACGAGGCGATTTGAGTTTCTCCCCGAGTTTGGCTCATGAAGCCTGACGATTGTTTGCCTCCACAGAGAATCGCTTCTGGTGCCACAACTCCTACAACCGTGCGTACATCGAAACGAACCCGTCTCTAATGGAACAACCATTGAACAGCTCGAATCGATTCGGATGCCAAGCAGCAAAGGACCTTGCACTGGAAATTCCGGAGAGCCATCATTGGATTCGTTCTGCAGGACCTTAGTCAGCCCCGACTTTCAAGGCCTTATATGAATCCAGTTTCTAGACAACCGTTGTGCTTCCTAAAATTATCGTCTCCGTTGTGCTTTGGTATGCGGGAGTCTCTGTCCTGAATTGAGGAATAAAGCCGTTTGTTTCGCATCTTCCGCGGGAGTGCTTGGTGATTGGAATGGAGGATCACACAGGTGTACTCGGCAACCAGCGGAATCGCTATAGGATCGGACCGCTCTTCTCGAGAAGCTCGAGAGAAAATATGTCCATCAAGGCTGCAGTCAGTGAGCTGTCGACAGGATATATTCAGCAAGAATGCGATGTGATTCTCGCAAATTATAGACTTTCAGGAGCTGAATCGCTCCGAGCAAACAGAATCTCGTGGGCTTGGTCTCCATCTCATGATCAGCGCGGAGACTATTTCGGAATCTATCTCGTTCGGCATTGATCACACCCGAATGAGTTTTCGTCTTCAGTCATCCACACGAGGTAATCACGAGTGCCAGACGAAAGAGAAGTCCGAGAACACTCAGCCTCTCGGCGTGTGCGATTACGATTTCGCTGGTTCTTTTCCGAATTCTAGTATTTCCTGAATTCATCGAGACATTCCCGCAGGGGTTAGGTTTTTCGCCAGTATGGATTGAATATGGAGGACGCAGGGGAACTTGCACAGCACACCGCGCAAATATTTCTCGAATTCGCTGCTTCTCGATTTCCGCCTGTACTGGTTTGAATTCGAGGACTCCTACTAATTCTCAAGCCGCTCCGCGCAGACGTGGGGTTTTCCGCCGGTATTGATACCCTTATGAACGTTGAGCATGGAAGGCACAGGAGGACTCGCGTAACACACCGAGCCAATGTGTGGCCTCTCCCCGCTGCGGACGAGGGCAGGCACATTGGGGAAGCTCGATGTTATGAACGTCTTAGGGCATAGCAGGCACCCGAACCGTCTGACTGGACCATTATGTCGGAGCATGTGAACTTCCAGGGCTGGTTTTCTTCGCAGGACTTCCCAACCAAATCCATAAGGTCGAACGGGCTGCGTAGGATTCGGCTTCGTTCCCGAGACGTCGCGCCACGGCTCAGAAGTATTTCTGAGCGTACCCGTCCTTGATACTTACGCGCTCGTCCAATCACGATGAGCGCCAAACCGACTCCGGAGCGCCGATGCATGCCTGATTCCCGGCAGAATCGGGCGATTACTCGGTCCGCGTCTCGCGGTCTGGACGTAGGGCAGCTCCGAGGAAGGTCTGTCATCTTGACAGGGATGAGGCCGATCATTCGACGCTCTCGCTCGTATCTTCATCGGACTCCGGTGCGGACATCCAATGATCTAGTGACGGACGCGACTCATCAGCCGAACCCATTAAGTTTCAGCTAGCTAGACCTAGGGAATAACAACCCATAACCATCAACCATCACCGACCAGCCCGAAGAACGGATTCGACATTCGCGCGAGAATCTGTAGACGCATGCCTCCTCGAACCCCGGCGCGACCTACTGTCGACAGCGAGAAGACAGGATTCGATTATTGGATTCGAGGATAAGTGTCCTTTCTATATACCTTACTGTTCACGGCGAGAAAGTGACGCTTCCCGCTCCTTCCCTGTGAACTTTTCCTTGGGCTATAGACCCCAGGGGGTGTCGAGGTCGGGACTAATCGTGCTTTGAGAGGGATGAGATGTTCTGGGGTAAGCCCGCGGAATGCTCGATCTCGTCACTGGTCACCAAGGCTATCACATCGCGACCGTCAATGAAGCCCAGCAATCAACACAGTCCTACACCGCAAAGGATAAATCGCCCCCTGGGTTCGCCTGTGATGCCACAGGAGCAAAGGCCGGAGTCGGGTAAGGACTAAAACTCCGGGAGGCTCCCTTCAGTGATTATAGAGAGCGGTGCCCTTGAGACTCCATCGCAAACATGAAGTTCTGAAGCCGCTCACACAAGCCGAAGGATCAAACGAAATGATGTACCTGGCTTGGCTCGCCATCCATTCGGGGCAGAAGACAAATGAATCCATTTCCGCAGACATCGCTCCGAATTGAGGTGTCTTGGAAGAAGAGACTGCGGATTTGCGGAGATCCGCTTTCCGCGGAATGGCCGGTGATCCCTCAGCGCGAGAATTCGCTCATTGGATCTTGATGATGGGTTGGGGAGTCGGCGATCACAGACTGCACGGTCACTGCATACCATAACTTCCAAGTATCCTCGAGAATACCCATGTGCAGAACCATATGATCGAGTTCGATTACGTGAGGAGAATTATTCGATTGAGTAAAATTCCCTCGGATCCCGGGCAGTCCTGCCGATTGTGAGGAGCTCGTATCTGACAGTGAGTGCTGAATGATGTCATGCGAAGCCCGAATCAATTGGGTGCGGCTCGAGAGAACTTGACAAAACGCTCGGGCGGTCGGAGTGAAAATACGACATGTTGGGAATCATTCGTGCGATTCACGCTACTCATGATTCACAAAATCATTCTTCTGCCTGAAGGGGCTGCGTGTTTGTTACGAATCACGCGAGGGAATTTGATTCTATGAATGAAGCGAGATTTTCTCTCGTCTTTACAGAGTTATTCTACTACGTTCATTGAATTTTTCACGGGATGAATGAAACCAGACGAGTATCTTGGCCTGGCGCGACTCTTGAGCAAAACTCATCGAATCCCTGAGATCTCGTCTTACAGAATGGGTTGAATTACCTACTCGCTGAACGTGTTTAAATCTCAAGGTGAGGAAACAAGAATCCTTCCAATGACACGGCTCTCAAATCGACACTTCCTGAGGGGTCATCAATCAAACGAACACGCGCCGAAAAGACACAATCCCGCATGAGCGGTTCACGGGACTTCCGCGATACCCGCCTTCGCGAGAATGCTTGTTGGCTCGACTAGGGGTTTAACAACGTCGGCGAGAAGGCAGAATCGAAGCTCGGTCGTGGGCATGAACCGATCCGAGATTGATCGAGAGTTCAGCTCCCATCGAGGAACGGCTCCTGAACAACAACAACGATCGCGCGCCGCGGACTCCTCGCTGCCGCTGGTTCTGCAGTACAATATACGGGATGGCCCTTCTACGCAAAAACGCCAACGTCACATGGAAGGTTGAGGGCAGTCTGACAGTCGGATGGATGCGCCTCCAGAACGGAGTCACAGTTTACAATAGTTTCTATTTCAACCTTGCATGCCGGCGTTCGGGTGCCATCAAACAATCACGTCGGACGCGTGGCGCGGTCGCCACGGTGAGAACAAGCCGCGCTATTGTCGGGGTGACAAGCTCTGCTGAGATGACGTAAGCCGATTCCACATTCACTAGACCGAAAAGGAGCATACCGTATTGTGTTCCGATCCGCGAATACTGCGTTTGGCCATCGGCGGCGATCGTAAAACAATCTTCCCCGATGCGCTTGGAATTCGAAGCAGGTATATTCCCAGGAAATAATAAATGCGGTTCATTACCGAATGGCCGGGGCTCCCGACTTTCATGTTGATATCCATATTCCCGCGAAATTTCAAGATGACATCACGCCGCCGCATTCCGTATCGGTGCAGAGGCAAAACGGTGTAACGGAGTCTTAGATGGAAATTCTATGACTCGATAGGGAGGGACGTGTTCTCGGAAGCTCAATACTAGCCTCGCGACTCATTTCTGAGCTCGAGCGAGAACTTGAGAGAACTCCTTGTTCTTAATAGATGAGCTGAGCATTGACCTTAGTTGTCTTATGAGTTCTGGTTGGTCAACTGAGATGAAGAATGCGTCAATCCTCTTGTTCACAATTCATGTGCTGCTGCTGTGAAGAAGAAAATCGAAAAGAAAGGTATGACATGACGTAGGGTGTTAGACAGCGGCTTCACGGAGAAGGTGTGACCAGCCATGCGATACCCTTGTCACCACACTGGGCCCCTGCATGTCAAGACTCATGACTCTCCGCATATCACGCGAGCGAAATTTTCTGCGAGATTTTCTACTCGATCCATCCGGTTGTCGGGCCACAAACGAGGCGTCGAAGTTGAGGTTCTCTCCAACACCAACAGCAATCGGTACAGCGTACTTCCGCTCGATGTTCACCTCTGATGAATTTCTTCGCTCCGTCGACGACTTCCCTCCTCAATGAGTCGATATCAGCCTCCGGAAATTGAGATCGCGCCCCTCGGTAGAACCTCGGAAGCGAGTCGTTTCCAAGTCCGGACTTCCTCTGCGCTCCTAGAGCGGAGCATTCAATGAGCGCTCAATGAGGGTTCGATTCGAGCAATATCATCAGCGGTTTGAGTCTAAGGAACCAGAAACCTCCCGATACTTCTTTCTTGATCGGATTTTCAATGTCACCCTGACGCGTGCTCTTGCAGCGCTAGAATAAATCCACTCCACTCCCTTTGATTCCGAGAGCACCTCAATGAATCACTCTGTTTTTATTCCGCTGAAATAACTCAGGTAGGTGAATGTTCGAGGGTTGGCATCCACGTCCGATAGGTGACCGACCGCGTCACCTGACCGGCCAAGGCCGTTCAGCCTATGTGGAGCTCCAGCGGCCGATCTGATTCGGAAATCGAGATCTGCTATCTAACTTTCACTGTCCTGTGAGAGACCCTGCAACTAGGCTGAGCCCGAAATACGGTTTCTTCCCAACAAGTCTTGTAGAGCCCAAATGATGTCACATCGCTTCTATTGCCCCAGAAGACTCGAAAGATCCCGGAGTCCTAATTCCCGGGCGCTTTTGAGGCTCCTGACACCCCGGGTGGCGGTTGGCATCGACAAGAGGATCTAGGATACGCGCAAGACGCGAAGCTCGACGTTCTTTTCCGTGTTCTCGAAAGACTTTTCCCAGGAATATCCCCTCAGACGTCCAAGATGTCCGGGGTCTGAATCCTATAGGGTTGACGACCCGAAAAACATCGTGAGCCCAGCGGTTGGAATATCGAAAACGGTTCCCGCCTTGATTTCAAATTGTAGAAACTCGATTCAGATGGGCCTGGTCTCGCGCGCGGTAATGGTCGCGTTGCGCAGCCGCTGGTTGCGCCGGTCGTCGACGGCGACGGCCGCATTTCTGCCTCAATGCGGTGCCTTAGTTTGGTGAGCACGTTACAAGTCAGACAAGTATCGAGCCGTGGTATAGAGCCGCATCAATGGAGCGCGAGTCGCCGAGGTTCCGGGTAAAAGCTGTCGAGCGACTGTTGGGTCAACTCCGGCAGGAAGGTCGACTCGTTGTGAAACCCGTTGTGACACACCCTCCGAAATTGCCCTTTAAGCGACACAATCCCAACGAATCTGGTTTGAAGCGTTACGAACTCAACGGAGGAAGATACTTGATTCGATCGAAGGAACCTCGTCGGAACCGCAAGTGTAAGAACCTCACTTGTGAGCATCTCTGCCGGGACAAAGAGGGTCCCCGAGAGGAAGTTATCGACACGTGTGACACTAAGGGACCTATCGAGCCGAGTACCGCCGAAGGGAGGACAGGAATCACCTACACATCGCAGACGGAATTGGTCGACGAGGTGACGTCGGCGACCGAGAACACTGCTTTCACGACGGCGTCCCAGCGAACTGTCTCTAACCTTTCGACAGTCTCTGGAATGAAGTCGATGGAGCCTGAGCAGAACCCGGAGAAAAATCAGCTAGCCGGCACTCATCGCCCGCGATCTAGTCTGAAAAACCTTCACCTAAACTTGTATCGTCACCAACGGAGTCTTAAGCAGGATCAAGATGGTGATGATCTCGAGAATCAGAGTTCGTATTTTCAAACGGACCAATCGATGTTCTACTTGAGCTCTCTGGAGGATGGTTTCTTGACAGAGGAGATCTCAGGGCAGATTTGATGTATCTTCGCATGACTTTTTGTTTGTCTCCTGTGAATAGATATCTCGATACATGTATGAATGTACTGGAACAGAAGAGAAAAAACTCTTCATCCCGATATGATGCACTTTCTCGAGGTCGGCTCCTTCGAAGGTTTTATTTGGGTGTCATTTTGAAGACGCGGAAGTCTCGTTCGAAAATTCCCCATGTAATAAATTAATTTGAACGTTAATAGATCATCAACGGCCCATCTCTCTTCCAATCTGAGAGGGGTAAGGGGGAAAGGGGTGGTTCTAACGACCGATCCATGTTCATCCTTGAAAGGATTGCACACCAATATCAGGCACGATCAGAGGCCGGGATCCTGAATAGAAGACTCCTCTCTCCATTGTAGATTTCAAAGAAAAGTCCTGCCCTCAGCAGAGAGCTGTCCGTTGCAGGACGAGCAACGGAGATTCCGACTCATTGAATTCATTATCATGGGTCAGTGTTGCCTGGAAGATAGTCTCGAGATGTCGAGTCCCTGTGACCATAGTCCCAGAGCGTGATTCCCAATTCCACAATGTCTCATCAGTGGCATCTCATGCTGATCGGTACGCTCCCTGACGAAAGCTTCGACGACCTTTGCGAGCTCTTCATTCTACTCCAACATTCACCGATGGGGGCGTCTCTACTCTTGGAATATCCACTTGTGGCAAACGCTCACTCACTGACACGGGGTCGGATCGTCGGGGATGAGGGCACAGGAATTGAGTTTGACGGATCAGCCCGAGGAACGCGCTGCACACGATTCTCAGAGGAAATGCAGAAGACTCCAAGTTGAGCGGAGTTCCCCTGAAGATAGGGAAGGGAGCATTGAGACTTCCGTATTACTCCTGACCCCTGACATGAGCCGATTAGGAGAAATATGGGAACCGGACCGGTGAACTCTGGGGAGGGGAACTGCGAACTTCACAGAGAGCGTGTCTCGCCGTAACTCTCGGTGACGCTGAGCTCCGATTCCCGTCGAGGATGGTGCCCGATGATGATGATGGGATGATTGCGGCAGCGTCTGTATGTCTTGCCGCGATCTCTGAAGGAGGATCAGCCGCTGAGCCGCCAGCTGATCGATGAGGGCTTCAAGCGCCGGGCAGACAGCTGAGTGAGAGAAGCTGACGGCTGGCACTTAGGACTCCATGGATATTTATTTGGAAAGGGTATAAGGACGGCTATCTTTGATGGACTAACTACATAATAATTATAATAACAATATTAGAGACACGACTATGCCCAATCCTGAAAACCGATCTCTCGTGAATATTGTGTGCTGATTGGAGGAACGTTTTTTATGAACGTGTGTCAGGTCTGAGGAGTACCGCCACGGAGGGTCCGTCTGTGATACCACTGTTCCCGTAGCAAAGCCGAATTATACGGGGGATTTATGCATTTTGCCAGATCTGACGAAAAATAAATCCCTCGCAAAGATCCCGGAACGGGTCTCCGACACGATCAATGGAATATCTCAGCGCGGAAGTCAGAGATTCTCGAACAGCAAAGTTTAATGTCGCTGCGGTGAACAGATGCCACCGTCCAGGTTTTTCGCTCAGGAAATTCTCCTGTTCCAGCTGTGAAACTCGGGTAGCGCGTCGATTGTGTCGTAGGGTATATATGCACATCGGGGTGTCCTTAGAAGCGAATTTTCACCATGAGGGCTTCGCTGATCATCCCGGTCAGTGGAAACTAGCGACATTCTCACCGCAGGCGACGAGAGATCTGGAGCCGTTCTTCCCTTCGAAATACAGGGTGAGCCTTGTCGATTGCTCGGCAGAAACTGTATTGGAATCAATTCGATCTTTTGTGCCGCCTCCCTTCCAACTGGATTTATCTGCACCGCTCATCCATGAATAAAACCGCCGACGATGATCTCTCTCAGCGCTCCTGAATCCACTCATGAGCGCGGGGAAAGTGAATTTTGATTCTGTCAATGATAGTAATTCTACTATCAAGGTCCGGATCGTAGTAGATTCCACAGAACAATGGAACGGATATGGGCTAGTCGCTGACTGTCGACGACGAGCACAATGCACGAAAATAATCGAGCGGTACGCTCCACAATTAGGCTGCCACAATTATCACGTCATGTTCATTCAGAAATTCGTGATTACATTGCGCGGGAATGGCTCGATCGAGGCGCATTGGTCAGCACCCGGCATAGCCATCCCAGCAGCGATGCGAGTCTTCTGGGGGACCCCGGGAGCTCTTACAACTCGTCGGGACGGAGACACTCGGACAGAGTTTTTTCAGGAGCCCCTCCTTCTGTTCAAATCTTGGGGGACTCATCATGGAAATGATTTTTGGCTTCGGCAGCTTATCGTACCTCGTCCGAACATGCAGTTCGGAGTCCTCTCTTTATACAAAATCGTGAATTATTCATCGTACGGAAAATCCTCTTCCAGCCTGGCAACCTTGATCATTAAAATTCGCGCGGGCAGCTTCTAGCAAAGTTGTCCCAAATTCACCCACGAGCGGACCCTGTTACATCGCTCACCATATTCTCTTGAACGGTCCGCCGCTTCTCTACGATCACCATCAAGATTCCGACTAATGAAGCTCGAGACCCACTCGTAGCGGAATACCCCAACCTCGCGCTACGAGGGACTCCCCTTCGATTCTGGAGTCGTTTGTAGACATCAGCGGAGGATTCTAATTGAAGGCAGTCATGACGAACCGACTACATGAGGAGCTGGCGCGTGTGTGAACGACCGCGTCAACGATTAAACAATTCTTACTCGACTCCAGCGTAGATTCCCGCGATCTCCTCGCCCGGCTTTGATGCCGAGAATTTGGTTCGAGAACTCGTGACGCCCGCAACTCCGCTGCGAGAGGAGAGTTGAGTACAAATAGAAGTGCCCAAGCCAGAACCCGGTCAGATGGATTCGGAGACTTGGTCTGAAGGCATCGTTGGTTCCACGACCTGATTGGCTCTAAGCAAGGATCAAGCTCAACGCTTTGACGGAGTCTACGAGTCCCCGACCTTGATACGGTGAGTGTCATCCGCCTGTTACGCTTTCCCCGCTCCCACGTGTCGGTGCTCGCGCTTGAGGACTCCCAAGCTGTGTGGAGAGTCTCTCCCGCGTGAAGTGACCGCCCGAGGCGAGATGCGTGTTGAGCGGCTCTTCTCTTGACACTTCGTGTTGAACTTCGGTTCCGAGTGCGTGCGAGAATCCCTACCGACAGGAATCTTCCCCCTACCATCGTCGAGCAAGTCGATTCTCGGTGGAGACACAAGTTTTCTCAAGTGTGCATATGCCCATTCGTGTGGCTGCCTCTCCGTAACCAAAGTCTCTTCGGTCCTCCGTGCGGCAGAGCCCTTTGGAACTGCGAGTCTTCTAGCTAGAAGCTCCACAGTGCTGATTGATCACTTTGGGATCGGAAGTGATCGACTTGAGAATTCAAGCGACTTGTAGGGTTGTGGGTGCGCGCATCTCAAATCGAAGGTGAGGGGAGTTCTCCGCCTCGTCGACAATTGATAGAGGTGCGCAAGTTTTCGAAGTTCTGGAGACGACACGGCTCGAAAACAAAGATCTCTCCGAGGATACGCCGTGTGCAGAGATCGGAAGCCGTTTCGACCGTGCAACATCCGGAAACGATTCTGTGTCCGAGCAGAATCTCGGTCCGAGCAGAATCCCGGTCCGAGCAGAATCCCGGTCCGAGCGCATGCAAGTGGGGTATTCTCGCTAGGGATCGCTCGGAGATTTAGTGAAAGGGAACACAATTCGGACGGTTGCGATTTAGTGAGACGAATGTTCATGAATCTGGCCTATAAATTGGAGAACTTTCAGGTAGAGAAGCGCATCACTAGAGAATCAGCGCCATGGATTTCACACTGGTCAACGCGAGCGAGCTCCTCACCCGGTAAGTGAACTCCGTCGAAGCGTTTCTGCGCGGGTGTCCGGGTTCGCCGATGCGAACGTATGGTATCGTGGGAGCGAACCCTAATTTAATTTTCTTTCATCGAAGCTTCACGTACTACGACTACGCGGTTTTCATCGTGATGCTCATGTTCTCCGGAGCTCTGGGGCTCTACTGCGCGTTCAGTGGCGGGCCGCAGAACACCATCAGGCAGTTGCTGGTTGCGGACGGGCAACTACCCCCCGTCCTCGTCAGCACGTCGTTGATGGCGTCTTTCATCTCGGCGTCCTTCATCCTAGGTTAGTGATATGTTACATGGAATGGTTCCTCGATCATGCTTCGTCGTCGTCCTTGTTCTTTCCCCTGAGCGGCGGATTATTTCTTGCAGGGAATGTCGCCGAGATACATCAGCACGGCACGATGTACTTCTTGACCGTGCTGTCATATTGTATATCCATACCCGTGACGGCCCATCTGTTCATGCCAGTCTTCTACAGAAGCGGCACCTTGACTTGCTACGAGGTTTGTACGTCTGGATATGAACTGAATCGAATATTTCCGAACATTCCTCGTCTACCAGAGAACTGACTCCTTCTCAATTGCAGTATCTGGAGCTCCGGTTCAACAGGATACTCCGCTGTGCGGCGGTGGCCTGTTATCTGGTCCAGATGTTCATGTACATCGCCATACAGCTGTACGCCCCGGCCCTAGCTTTGTCAAACGGTATGCAATGGTTGTTTGTGTGGTAATCAGCCGGTTCCCAGACCTTCGCGATGAGAGAATCTCCTCAAATTGTTCTGATCTCCTCCCTTCCTAATCTCCTCTGCCGACTCGTTGCAGTCACGGGTATGAAACTTTGGACAGCAGTGATCGCCATCGGAGCGGTGTGCACGGTCTACACGTCCGTCGGAGGAATCAAAGCCGTGGTCTACACGGACTCCTTCCAGGTAAGTCTGGAAGAAATATATTTAAAATAATTGATGATCAAGAAGTCCTATGCTCTTGCTCCTACATTTGATCTGAGAGAGCGACAACCTTCTCTCTGAGTCGACATATAATATAATCTCCCCCATTCGCCATGTGGCACCGGTGATCATGAAGCAGTGTGAGTTTTGGACAACGACACTCCACATGCGTCCATTGAGCGACGTCAATGAGAAATCATATCTAATACCAGTTTGATTCATCGCAGGCTTTGTGCATGATCATCGCGCTGCTGGTGGTCGTCATCTTAGGTATCGATGAAGTGGGAGGCCTCGCGCACATTTGGGACGTCGCGAACAAGGGCGGTCGAATCCGCTTCGACGAGTAAGTGAACTTCTTGCACTTCAGCATTTCCTCTTAGTTTGACCGTCTTGAGTTTCACGGGGGGACGATTCCGGGAAAGTCTCCCCCCCTTCTCGATCCTCCGAGTACCGGACCGCTCAGCGAGCGTATTCGGAT